CAAAATAAAAGAATTATTCAGCAGAAGCTAAGGGAAGAAATACATTTGTTGGTGGATATCCCAATGGCTGGTACTGGCAGCACGAATAACGGAAACACTACAAGGAGTTTTTTCCAACAACAACCAAATTTGGCTGCTCGTATAACAGTAGAAAGGAATGATTTAATATATCGATTTAGCGTAGTCTTACGAGCATTGGCTTGTGGATACGAGATAAATTCGGTCGCAATCGAATCTTACGCATTGGAAACTGATAAAGCATGGGACAAATATAATAAACCATTTTTCCCTTCCGATTGGTAGATGTCCGAGGAAGCTCTTGAAGCCAGGAACATGGTCTATCGAAACATACGCGAGAGCAGTACAAGAAAAAATTCCAGGAAAAATACAATCAAAGATATCATAAATGCTTTATTAGTTTCGTCAGACCCTTTGATATGTTCATTGTCAATTGGGTCTTCAATTTCGTCTGCAAAAATATTATTATGGACTATGATGTTAAGAGCTTGCTTTTAATGGATCATCTAGATATGCCTGATTCTGATTCCGAAAATAATTTTGATTTATAAAATGTGAATTATGAAATTAAAAAAAATTTAAAAATAAAAAAATTAAAAATAATTTTAAAAATTAAAAAAATAAGCAAATTTTTTTTTCTTAAAAAAGTCTACGACTTTTTTCTGAACTGTGAAAAAACCCCGGCTGAAGATATCTTTTTTCGTTTAGAAGTTATTAATTAAATGCCGCTAACAAGGCCCAATCGCCCACAGTGCGTAGTTGTAATTAACTCTTTAAATGCGTCTTTCTTGTGAGCCGTCCGAAGACGAACTAAAATCACATGTTACATTGTAGCAAAAGATTGATCCAAAGGCTATTCAGAAAGCGAAAGACAGATGGAAGTCTATTCATAATTATGGAATTTGACAGCAAACACGATAATCAGCTGATTTGCAGCTGATCTCCCCGGGTGGCCTTATTAATAGACATTGGGATAATCTAATGATTATTTTTACATATAAATCAAGCCACGGCCTTTAAATATTGCCATTCAGGGAGACCAGCTGGATATCCGCTGTTTCTCAAGTTTGCTGTCAAAATCCATTATTGTGAATTGACTTCCAATAATGAAAACGTAAACAAAGACCAACTTTTTGACTTTAGACTTGAGAAAAAAAACAGCTGACTTTCACTAGCTGAGTGACCTTATTAATAGATCTTCTATAAAACACATATATTTATTCCAATCAATATTTTATATTGCCATATATTGCCGACCAATGTGTCAATATTTCAAACACTTGCCCTTTCTCTATAATTTAGCACCTCTTTGGTAGGCGCTCACAATTTTCCGATGCATATTTATGACTACGAAATTGCAATGTCTTAAAATATGTATATATTTCCTGGTTGGCTGTGGTTAAATTGCATAAATCGGAATAAAGCGACGAAACGAGCTGTGTAGGTTGTAAAAAGAATGAACTTTGTCTTCGTTTATCGAGTTCGATTTTAATGCATGACACACTGAAACTGGCCTAATAAATTAGTACTTTTATTTGTTAAATTGAATATTTTTAAATTAATAATAAAATAATATAAAATTTATTAGTGAGCGGAGCAGTATAGTCGGGACCGACCATACGATACCCTACACAACTACCACTGAACTCTTTTTATTTGTATTTGCTAAAAAAACTATGCGGCGCCAGTGTGGTCCGCTAACGTCAGTGCAACGCAGTGGAAAAGTCTTCAATCCTGCCAGAATGCTGCCCTGAGGACTGCAACAGAGTGTCTCCTCATGACTCCAATAGACCACTTACATGAGGAGACGAAGATCCTTCCTGTGCGTCAACACAACAAGATGTTATCGATGCAATACCTGCTTGGGTGTTATAAGAGCAGCCATCCAAACCACTACCTAATGGATAGGCACCCACCACCCAGGCATGTCAGGAAAGATCTCCATGATTTGGAGAGAGAGGTCCAGAGGTACAAAAGAGAGCCTCTACATCAACAGGCTTATCAAGCAGGATTGAATAGTATTGACACGGATGCAGTTGAGGAAGCAGTTCAAGAATATCGCGTGAATACCATACTCGGAGACCATCCGCCTTTGATAGCTGCATAAGAGCTGCAGCTACCTCGACAAACTAGAGTGGTCTTGGCATAACTGAGATCTGGATGGTGTAGCCGCCTCAATTCGTATTGGGCACGAATTGATGGAGAGGTCGACAATGTCTGCCCGGCATGTGGTAACGAACCACATTACACGCTACATCTGTTCAATTGCCCAGCCAAACCCACTCAACTAACCCCATCTTCTCTCTGGACTCAACCAATACAGGTCGCAGCCTTTCTGAATTTGGAGTTAGAGGCAGAATCAGATTAAAAAAATAGAAAAATACACAGCAGTACTAGCTGCTACAACAACAACCACGGAACTCTAACTTTCTGCGGATTTTTATTCCGTGCCTGTGTAATATTTCTTTGTAGTTCCACCCTCTTGCCCTATTAGAGGTCAACAGCACCTCTTCCTTATACTGACATATTTTCCGAATATTACTAATATTCAGTACAGTCCTTCTATTTACTTGTCCATATTCCCTTGACCGTGGGTTGTGATGTTTGGCTTATAATTGTGGCCTATAGATCGACTCGGTCCACTTCATCCCTAAATTATTATCTGATCATCACCGAATATTACAGGCGTTGTCCTTCATCATAACTGAAACCTCATGGAACATTTCACAGCGCTATATCTCCGCCCTCCAGTGGTAATCAGTTACAAAATAATATCTGAATACATAAGTACCTGTAAATATTTAAGTGTAACTCCCACATCCGAATACATAAGACAATATACTTGACATCAATTTAAAGGCCAACCACTCCTCTTGGATATACTATCAACTTCTCGGGCCTATGTCCTTCAGGGGAAAATATATATGCTCAAGAATACAATTTTTTTTTCGTTTTTCACCCAAATGTCACGGCTTATTTGATCCGCTAAATATTGACCGATCTTTATCAAAACAGGCATGTTTATTCCTTCTCCATGTCAAATTTCACGATGTTCGGGACATAATTGCGGTCTCTGGAGCGACCAGAAAAAACGTCAAAAATTAAGTATTCGGTCCATTTCATTCCCTAAATATTAATCGATCTTTACCAAAAACAATAGGGGTCTTCATTGCCCAGAACGCATACTACATGCAAAATTTCGTGAAGATTGGTCCATAACTGTGACCTGTATCGTGTTTACAAATTATAATAGACAGACGGACGGACACACATGTCTAGATCGATTCAGCTAGTCGATATATGACGATCGGTATACTTAAAGTTCAAGGACCAATATTTCGCGGCGTTACAAACTTTTGGGACTGCACAAAGCTATAATACCCCGACAACATAGTTGTGTACGGTATAAAAATCCACGCCTTGTTGTAGAACCTAAAAAAATATTTTTGTAAATTTCTTGTGATAGACACTGAATAAATATTTTTTTAATCCACACCTTCTAGAATACCCTGCAAAAATATTTGAATAAAAATGTAGTTGACGGGATAACCAAAAAATACAAGCAATTAATTTTTGTTCTCAATAAATTCGTAAATAAAAACAATTAATATTTTTACATGGACGACCATAACAAGAATTAATTTTTGTTCTCAATAAATGAATGAATCGGAACCAGAACCTGCCAGAATATACAAATTTCTATAAAATAAACCCTTTTCGTAATTCTAATAAAATAACTAGCTAGAACATATCGAATCCCCTATTTTATAATTGTCTTATTACGACACAAAACAAAAATGCAGCGTAAAATTTGTGTGTGCTTTTGCCTTAAGCAAATAAACATTAATTACGTACATGCTTATAGAATATTTGCAAATAACATTAAATCAATAAATTCGAAATGTAAACATAACCTATGAGGGTCATTAAATTGTCTGTTAGCTTTGAAAAATTATTGTTTACTACGGTATTTTTTATTGAATAATAAAACAGAAATATTTTAATTTAATTTGATATCGTATATAACGACTATTGCCTATAGCGACCAATATTGCCGGTCGTCACTATATTCGATTCCGATTGTACTGAAATTTGCTACTTATGTGAGGATAGGTATTATTAAAAGTTTATTATAGTTTTTTTTTAACATATTAAGGTAATTTTTAATGTAGACCACATTTTTTTTATAAAATTTAAATATTTTGCTAAAAATTTTATTAAAAATTAATTTAAAATAAACATTTTTAATTTAAGCGCCAAAAGTTCATGGCTTTGCTACTGAACACAGCTCACATTTATTGTTCTTATTCCCCTTAGTTTGTATGCAATTTTAAGATGAAAAATAATATGTTTTATTAGATTTGGATAATCTATATTATAATCTGCAACAAAATGTTGTTTATTTTTTAATATAATATATAATATTTGATAATTTATTTAAAAATTATTCATTGGATTTATTCATCTTTGCCATCGCTTTTGAGGAGTGCTTTTTAATTAGAAATTACTTGAAATGTTTTGTAATAATATTTTCTTATTAAATTTTTATTAATCTACTCAAAAAATCAATAAAAAGTAGATTTTAATTAATATTTTTCTAAATTCATTAATTAACCGCCAATTTGTATGGTTATGTCAACTGAACACAGCTCCCACACATTGCTTGTGTGAGTAACCAGTACTCACCAACACATGACATTGTTTTTGTTGTGAGTCTCCCTCCCACACCATTCGTAAACTTTCAATTATACCATTTTGGGTTTATCTTTATCGGCCATTTTGCTTCTCCGTCCATTCGTTAGCAGGTGGAACGTTTTTCAATTTTTCTTCAGACGAGGTTGTGTCTTGGAGCACATGTAAAGTCAAGTGAGTGTAAAGAGAAGGTGCACGGTGCAATAAACATCAACAAAAATAATAAATATTAAACAAATAAAATACAATTATTAAAAAATATAAATAAAAAAGTATCCCCCTACCCACAAAATGTCCCCACCCACCGAAGAAGAAGTCAAACAGAAACAATGGTCCGAACAGGAACGTTTGGAGTTGGCTGCCAAATTAGATGCTGAATTGGATGAGTTCATCAATGGTTTGGAACGAAAGCGATATGAGGAGGGCTGGCCGGAAGATCGTTGGCAAGAGGAAATGGATAAACATCCATTCTTTATGAAAAAGGAACCACAGCCGGGCGATGAGATACATCCCATGTTCGAGGGTTTACAGAAGCTGAAATATGATCCCGAGGAGAATACCTGTGAGGAGTTGGCCCTTAACTACAAAGAGGATGGTAATTTCTATATGAAACACAAGAAATTCCGCATGGCTGTTTACAGTTTTAGTGAGGGCCTAAAGGCTAAGTGTGAGAAACCGGAGGTGCTGTCCGTGCTCTATAATAATCGTTCGGCGGCACAGTTCTTTTTGAAGAATTATAGGTGAGATAAATATATTTTTCTAAATTTAAATAAATTTAACCCTTTAATCCCCTTTCCAGATCCTCCCTGGCCGATGCCCAAAAGGCCTTGGAATACAATCCCGAATATGCCAAGGCACGCTGGCGTGCCGCCCAATGTGCCTACGAATTGGAACGCTTTGATTTATGCGCGGAACTGTGTGAAGAAATTATTGAACGTGATCCGGACAATCAAGATGCCCAAAATTTGCTGAAAAAGAATAAAACCAAAAGGCAGGATATTGAACGTAATAAACGTAAGGAGCAGGCATTGGAAAAGAAAAAACAACAACGTTACCACAACCTTCTAAAAGCTTTGGAAGAACGTAAAATTAAATTTGATGATATACGGCCGGGAAACCCCATCAACGAGGAGTTGTTGAGACCAAATTTTTTACCCCTCGAAGATTACTCGGTGCATTTGGATGAAGACAATCAAACGCTTATATGGCCAGCGGCATTTCAATATCCGGAATTTATGTACAGCGACTATCAGCAACAGCTGTCGGAGGAGGCAACGTAAGGGATGATTTGTTTCTTTATTTAGAAAAATATTAATGTAGGTTTTCCTCCTTTGTAGCATGCTGGATGTCTTGGATTCCCTGTTTGCCGAACCCCTACCCATGGACAAAACTGGCAGCTATGCTGCGGATAAAGTTAATGTCTATTATGAAAATCGTAAAGTTGGTTGTGTGCACAAGGTGAAATTGGAAAAGACCATTAAGGAAATTTTACAAGAAAAGGGGTAAGTGGTGGTCTTGAGTTTTAACTTTAGGTTGGAATTTAAATTTTGGGTTTTTTCTTTTTCTTCTTTTGCAGCTTCTTTGTTAGCGGTGGCTCTTTATTGTTTTATATTGTGCCCAAGGATTCACATACGGAAATGAAATTCGTAAACGAACCAAGACGTTGCTTATTTAAGTAGAACAAATTTTTGATATATTAATAAAAATTAAAAAAAAATTGTTTTTTAAATTATTTTTCTATATCCCTACAAAATGGAAGCCGACTCGGCTTCTATTAGACTTAAAAATATTATTTTAAAAATCATAATCAAAAACCAGTAAGGAAAGTAGTAAAGTCGAACGGGGCCGACTATTTTGGGTATATTCAACAAATGAATCCTAACAGACGCCGAATTTTTGAAGGGCCATTAACATGAAAATGGACCCATAAACATGTCATTCTGCGACCCATACTAAATTTTTCATTTGGTCAGATATAGGGTTGCTTCTTACAATGGACAAAATTATGTAAATCAATTTAAAGCAAATATCAATCCGGATGTCCGATTGGATAAACATGAGTAGTTTGCTGCACCATCGGACGAAAGAATATATAAAAGCTATATCGAAATCTAAACCGATTTCATCGAAATTTTTTTTTGACACTGAAAGGGTTAAGTTTTACTAATTTCAGTATATTTTGTACATATCGGCCACATTTTGAGTTGTTGGTGCATCATATACTTAAAGTCGTGAGAAAAAATATATAGGAGCCCTATCCAAATCAGATCCGATTTTAAAACTTTCCACACGCTAGATTATATTAACTTCAGTACCTTCTGCAAAATGTTGTGTAAATCGTCCTACCTTGGGGTCTTTGGTGCACCTTTTACTTAAAATCCGACGAAAATATATATGGGAGCTATATCTAAATCTGGATCGATTTTCACGACCTAATTCAGGAATCCATTTACATAAAATCGGACGAAAATATATATGAGAGCAATATCTAAATCTGAACCGATTTTTAGGAAACTTAACACACACTATTCTAGACCTAATTCAGTACGCTATACCAAATTTCGTGCAAATCAAAAGATATATAGGGACTTTGGTTCACAATTTACATTAAATCGGACAAAAATATATATGGGAGCTATATCTAAATCTGAACCGATTTTTTTCCAATTTCAATAGGGTCCGTCCTTGGGCCAAATACATGAGCTATGCCAAATTTCATACAAATTGGATCATAAATGCGACCTGCACCTTGTTTACAATTAAACATGGACAGACAGACGGACATTCATAAATCGACTTAGAAAGTGATTCTATGCTTATTCTCAAAAGGAACCATGTATCTATCTCGTTTCCTTTTGTCTGTTACAAAAATATGCAAAAAGACATAATACCCTGTACCACAGTGTGGTGAAGGGTATAAAAATAGTTTTAAAAATAAATGATCAATCCTAACCTCAAACTAAATGTTTCTTTGCAATAAAAAAAACTCTTTAAATTTTGTTTTTTTTTTAATATCAAAGCATTTTATTAATATTATTATCTATATAATTGTATATATAATAGTATTTATGTATATATAAATATAATATAATTTATATATTTTACAACAATTAAGCAAAAAAATGCAAATATATTTTTTTAAAAAGCCATACAATTATAAAATATATGTATATATTATTATGATATATATATGTATGTATATATTGAATCAATATGATACTTCAGTTTTTTAGGGTTACAATATTTTTTTGGTGGTATTATTTTTCAATTATTGTTATTACATTTCTAATAATTATAATAGTTTTGGAGCAAATGCATTCATTATTAAGTCTTCTTTTTGGTTTAATTGATTTCAATTTTTTATAGTAAAACCGTAAAATTAACCTATAAATTTTAAAAATCATATTCATAACCTCACTTTTAGGAAAGGAAAATAAAAATAGAATAAAATTAAAATAATAAAAAAGGGAAGACTTATAATTTTAAAATAATATTGTTTAGAAAATATTTCATTAAAGCAATTTTGAGGTTATGTGCAAATCAGCTGTTTTGTCGTTCATTAAATACTGTTATATAAAAAGCTTATTATATTATTTCTATTAAATCTAAATTCTTCTTAAAAAATATTTATTTTTTCGATATGTTTTACAGTTTTAAATTGATTTATTAATTTATATTTTTTATTTTATTTATTTATTTCTTATAAAAAAGCGATTTTTCAAATTTAGAGTTCTGCAACGAAAATGTCAGTATAAAATAATTATTCATAGACAACAAGAAGCATAAATAGTCAACAATATATATTTAATTAATTTACATAGTAAAACAATGATTTTTTTATTTTTAATATATAAAAAGGCCAAATAAAATTTTGAAAAGTTAATTTCTTTAAAGCAGTTGGGTTTTTTTGGTTTAGAAATATGTTAACTAAAATTAGATTACAACTAAATTCTAAATTAAAGGGAGGTGGGGAAAACACATGAGAGGTTGGCAAATAGAACCTCGGTTTTTTTATGAAGACCAATAGGTCTTTATAGACCTTGAGTCATTATAAACACTAATTGGTCTGTATAAAGTCCTCGAGTCTTTATAGAGACGATTAGGTTTGTATAGAGACGTAGGGTCTTTATAAAGACCATTTGGTCTGTATAGAGACCTAGGGTCTTTATAAAGTCCAATTGGTATGTATAGGGACCTATAGTCTTTATAAAGACCAATTGGTCTGTATAGAGACCTAGGGTCTTTATAAAGACCAATTGGTCTGTATAGAGACCTAGGGTCTTTATAAAGACCAATTGGTCTGTATAGAGACCTAGGGTCTTTATAAAGACCAATTGGTCTGTATAGAGACCTAGGGTCTTTATAAAGACCAATTGGTCTGTATAGAGACCTAGGGTCTTTATAAAGACCAATTGGTCTGTATAGAGACCTAGGGTCTTTATAAAGACCATTTGGTCTGTACAGATAACAAGGGTCTTTATAAAGACCAATTGGTCTCTATAGAGACCTACAGTCTTTATAAAGACCAATTGGTCTGTATAGAGTCCTTGGGTCTTTATAAAAATCAATTGGTCTGTATAGAGACCTCGGGTCTTTATAAATACCAATTGGTCTGCATAAAGACCTAGGGTCTTTATAAAGTCCAATTGGTCAGTACAGAGACCCTAAGTCTTTATAAAGACCAATTGGTCTGTATAGAGACCTAGAGTCTTTATAAAGAGGCCCGAGGGAGACCAATTGGCCTTTTTGACATGCCATATTCTTATATATTTGGGTCTTAACTAATTTTTAATAGACTTCATCTTCTATGATAGTTTTTTTACATAACATATTTATTATTATGTTTTTTTTTTTAATCTTAAAAATATTTTTAAAATAATTTTTTAAGGAATATTGAGACAATATCATAAGAAATTGAACTAATTCCGATAGTATGTAATTATTTTTCATAAATTGAGCTTTCTATATTAATTGTTTTTTTAATATATTTTTAGTATTCCATAAATATTGTTACTCTTGTACCAAACGTAATAAACAACCAACATTACATCATGCACATTTAAAAGTTTACATTTTTTTGGGCTGGACTTATTATTTTTTTTATTTTATCATAAGTGTAAAATATGTTACATAAAATTATGGCAGTTTTGTTTAGCTATATATTTTTAAGCAGGCAATGGAATAGATATGTACTATGTAAGGGATTTTTTAAGTTTTTTCAATAGTATTTTTTGGTTATAATTTCCATTTATAGGTTATGTTCGGGAATACAATTTTTTTGTAACTCATAACCAATTAGTTAATAGCTTACAACGGATATAATATTCGAATAAAACAATTTTCTTCAGCATTTGCTTTTTTGAACATAACGCATTTTGTTAGTTTTTGTAACATAACCTCACTTTTTAATAGCATTGTATGGTTATAAATTTGTTTTATAGGTTATGTTTCAGAATAAAGAATTTTTGCAACACATAACCAATTAGTTAATAGCATACAGCGGATATAATATTCATTATTATTTGTTACGATAGGGAATCTTTAGCTGTTTTCTTTAGCGTTTAATTTTTTGAACATAACCCAACTTTTTTATTTTTTGTATCTTAACCTCAATTTGTTATTACTGCGTTTTATAGGTTATGTTTGAGAAGAAGGATTTCTGTAACACAAACCGTTATATTTTTTTACGATTGGGAATAAAACAATTTTCTTTAGTTTTTAATTTTTTTAACATAACCCAACTTTTTATAGTTTTTGTAAAATAACCTCATTTTCACCTTATAAGCAAATTAGTTTAATTGTAGGCTGATAATATAGTCTATTTTTTCCAGGTCATTGTTGAGCATTGAAAAAAAGTTAGTTGTTTGTATTGTTTTTTTAATTTTTTGAACATAACCCAACTTTTTTTAGTTTTTGTAACATAACCTCATAAGCAAATTAGTTTAAAACAATTAAAGAATTTAAAAATTTAGTGTTTTTTGAGCTTTACAGAAATTGACTGTTGGTATTTTTTTTTAATTTTTTGAACATAACCCTACTTTTTTTTTAGTTTTAGTAACATAACCTCATTTTTTTTTTTAATTTTAGGCTGAACATAATTTCTTTTCTAGGTTTTTGATAAGCATTGAAATAAAAAAAATTAGTTTGAATTGTTTTTTTTTATTTTGTGAACATAACCTCATTTTCTTTTAGGATAAAAATGTTTTAAATTATGTACCGCTATTAATTATTATTTTTTAATCCCATCCCTTTAATATTCTTTATAATTGTTGATAAATAATCTATTCTATAGACGTTTAAAATATTTTGGTATCAAAGAATTTGTATAAATATTTCAACATAACCTCAAATTTTAAAAATTTATAAAATATGGAAATATACCTAACATTTATGTTAATACAATGATTATTTGAACAATATTAAGTTCCTATTATAAACTCCGAAATGAACTAACCCATTAAATGTGTTTAAAAAATTGCGATAATTACGTTAAATATAACCTCAATTTTTATACCCTTCACCACACTGTGGTACAGTGTTTTATGACTTTGTGCATATGTTTGTATAGAGCAAAAGGAAACGGGATAGACACATGGTTTCTTTTGAGAATATGCATAGAATCACTTTCAGAGTCGATTTATGCATGTCCGTCCGTCCGATGTTAAATTGTAAACAAAGTACAGGTCGCATTATCATCCGATCTCGATGAAATTTGGCACAGCTCATGTATTTGGCCTAAGGACGAACCCTATTGAAATTTGGGAAACATCGTTTCAGATTTAGATATAGCTGCCATATATAATTTCGTCCGATTTAAGGTAAATGGTGCGCCAATGTGCCTAAATATTATTCGATATGCACGAATTTTTGCATAGCGTACTGAATTAAGCCTAGAATGTTGTGTGTTAATTTTGTGAAAATTGGTTCAGGATATAGCGCGTCCAATTAATAGAATGGTAAGTCGATATGCACGAAATTTGGCACAGTGTATTGAATTAAGTGTGGAATGATGTGTGTTAAGTTTCATGAAAATCGCTTCAGATTTAGATATAACTACCATATACATAACCTCACATTTGTCAAAATGTAATTTTTAACACGATTTTCTTACAAAAGATTTGGTCAATACAAGCTCACATTATTTTTTTAAAGAGAACAATAAAATACTTTTTTTTACATATTCCTAAGTTTATATAAAATCTGGTCGCATTCATTTTTAATACATGTATATAACCTAAAAATTTGAAGTTATATTGACAAAATCTCCATTATTGAAGTTTTAAAAATTTTGAAATTGAAGTTTGAAAATTTTGTTCCAAAAAAAGAATTATTAAATTATGTATGTGATCATTTTCAAAATTTGAGGTTTTTGGTATCTTTTTTCCCTTATTCAACCAATATTTTGAGGTTATGTTCTTAAAAAAACTTATTTTTTGAGGTTATGGATTAAAAAAATACAAAGATATTTATCTTCAATAAAAAATACTAAAATATTTTTTGTTTTTAATTTGAATTTAATTTTTCCGGGTTTTATAAGGCATCTGATCGCATTCATTTTTAATATACATGTATATAACCTACAAATTTGAGGTTATATTGACAAAATTTTCATTATTGAAGTTAAAAAAATTATTACAATATGTATGTGCTTATTTTCAAATTTTGAGGTTATGTTGGTATCTTTTTTTCCTTATTTAACCTATATTTTGAGGTTAAGAACATAACCTCAAAATAAAAACCCTTATTTTTTGAGGTTATTAAAGAAACGAAGCTATTTTGCTTCATTAAAAAATACTGAAATAAATTTTTTATACATTCCTAGGTTTATAAAAATGTATTCTACTTGATATTTATGTTTCATTATTATTAAAATTTGAGGTTATGTTACAAACTTTTGCCTTTGTGGAAGTAACATTTTGAGGTTATGTTCTCAAATTAATATTATTGAAATATTAATGTGATCATTTTTAAATTTTGCGATTATATTGGCAAATTTGTCCCTTATTCAATGTATATTTTGAGGTTATGTTGCCAAAATCGCTTATATTTATGAATTGCATTATTTAAAAAAAGAACTAAGATTTTTTTCTTTCTTTAAAAAATAATAAAAAAATATATATTTCTATAATGTTATTCTTCTAATTCATGTTATAAAGATTTATTTAAATTAATATTTATTTAATAGATATATTTAAAGTTTGAGGTTAGGTTATGTTGCCAAAATAGCTATACTTTGATACTACGATTTGTTTCTTCTTTAAACAAATTGTAAAATAATTTTCTTCTATATTTCTAGTTTTATAAAAATCTGACCACATTATTTTTTTTCAAATAATTTTATATATAATCTATAATACTGATTTTTACTAATCAAATTAATTTGCTTGCAATAAAAGTCTTTGTTTTAGTTTAATCGTTAATTGACCTAGCTAAATATATGGCAAAAGAAGAAGTAAAATAAAAACAAAATTTAAATTAAAAAATTATAAACATCGTAAAACTTAGCTTTTATTTTTCAAATAAATATGCAATAAAATAAAAGAAATAATAATAATAATTGTATATATATGATCACAATAAAAATGAGACAGTAAAAACGAGTATTTTTGTTTTTTTTTTTTTAATTCAATTTACATAGATAAAAAATATGAATAAAAAATATTAAATAGAAAAAATTTATTAAATATATAAAATGCATTAAATAAAAATTATCTTAAATAAAAATTCACTTAAATAAATATAACAAGCTAATGAAACACTTGAAATGGAAGTTCGAGTTCTTTTTTGTTTAAATTCTTAAAAAGAAAGGCTGTTAAAATAAATTAAAGCTTTTTTAAAATTTACATTACATGAGAGTAGTTTTTAAATTAAAAAAATAAAATAAATAAATAATTTTGAAGCTCAAAATTCGCTATGCTGATTTCTTTGTAAAACATTGTTAATTTTAAATTTGAGCGGTGAGAAATCGATTTTCTTAAAACGAGGTAATGAACCGAATTTTTTCGTACCCATAACTTGAGCGGTGGCCGTGGATGATAGATCACCGGCAATGCCATTACTTACGGGTGAGGAGGATGATTCCAATTTGGCCGATTGTGTCATTAAATCCTTGGGATTGTTTTTCAAATGTTGCTGTAGCTGTTGTTTGATACGCATCGATTGCTTGGGTGCCAATGTGGCATATTTGTGCAGGAGACGTGTGGCATCTTTGGTTGCCTTGTAACAATTTTCATATTCCAATTCTGCCTCCTCCAAACGGCGTATACCACTTTGTTTGGGGGTGGTGTTGTAATCCTTTTCCATGCGATCCTTATTGGGAGTAGAGTTTGTGGTAGATGGATCCTCTGCCATACTTCCGCCACCACCATTAATCGTATCATCAAATTTAAAATCAATATTTTGCAATAAAGCCAATTGTAGCAATTCCGTTTGTAGCTGCTCCTTCAATTGGACGGCATCGTCATTGAGATCATTGTAGGAAGATTTTTCGGTATTATTGTTGTTATTGTTATTTGTATTGAGCATTAGAGATCTGCGTTTATTGATATTGACGGTGTAAACATTTTCCGAGATTTTTTGAGCATTTTGGGTACGTCGAGGTATGGTGGAGGTACCTCCACCGCTACCTATTGCCGCTGTCGTCTGGTTGGAGGACTTCTTACGCTGATCCATGATTTTCTGGGGCGATGATATGTACAGATTCTCTTTGCGTTCTCGGCGCATTTTGATGTTGACCAAATGTTTAAGACCCAAATGGTGGGATGATTTCTGGAAAAAAGGAAAAATAAAAATATTTTGTCAAGTTCTTATAGAAGTCGTGGATTTTTAAAAATATTTTTTTAAGGTCTAATATGAGAAGATCCTGAGATCTTCTATGAGAAGATCCTGAGATCTTCTATGAGAAGATCCTGAGATCTTCTATGAGAAGATCCTGAGATCTTCTATGAGAAGATCCTGAGATCTTCTATGAGAAGATCCTTAGCTTTTCTATGACAAGATCCTGAGATCTTCTATGAGAAGATCCTGAAATTTTCTATGAGAAGATCCTGAGATATTCTTTGAGAAGATCCGGAGATCTTCTATGAGAAGATCTTGAGATCTTCTATGAGAAGATCTTGAGATCTTTTATGAGAAGATCCGGAGATCTTCTATGAGGATATCCTTAGATCTTCCATGAGAAGATCCTGGAGTCTTCTATGAGAAGATCCTGAGATCTTCTATATAAGATCCTGAGATCTTTGCTAACATCCTCAAATTTCTATGGAAATATCCTGGTCTTTGTTAGTTGCATTTCCGCCCTCTTATATCTAAATATTTAATAAATATTCATTAATCCAACTCACCTCCTTCTCTTCCGATTTATATGCCGTTGGTGGTGTTGTCTGCAACTTCGATGGACTAACGGACCCCCTTTTCATTTTCATTGTATCACAACTATTGGGATAATATGAGGGTACCTTATCATCGATGCTGATTATAGATTTCCTCGGGGTTTGATAATAATTTTCATGTTCCTCAGCAGCTGCCATAACGGCGGGAGAATCTTTTTCCGATGCCGAATCGGTGGGTGTACTTGTACATATTGTCACTGGCATTGGTTGTTCCAATTCTTGGGCTGCCTTAATGGTCAGTAGATTCTCATAGAGATTACCACTGAAATCTTTATTCAGCGGTGGGGTATGCTCATGCGGTTTGAGTATGATACTGGCATTTAATGGTGATCCAACCTGCATATTTTCATAGATATTGCTATCATTAACGGGAATGGGAGTTTTGCGCAGCGGTACCATATCGTAGTCACTTTCTACTTCTTCCTCTTTTTGTTTTTGGGATTTTTTGGCCTTGAGGGGTAGAGGCTTCAGGGGTTCTTCGGCGCCATTTCTTTCGTTATTTAGTTCTTTATTTGGCTCAGAATTCGATGAAGAGGATGATGAGGTGGTGGAACAATATGACCCAGTGGAATAACCCGATGATGTAGATGAGGTTGTCGAGGAGGTGGCAGTATTGGTGGTTTCACGATTTTCAGTCTTTTTATTTTGTATCGGAGCCATAATACAATAACCCGTCAGATCATCTTCGATGACAATTTTATTACGTTTCATTATCTGCAGGGATGGTACCGCACCACTGGCACCCACTAGATTGATGGAGGAGGTATTACATGCAGAGAAATTAAAATTCTGTGGCAATTGTTCGGAAATATTTAAACTTTCCAAGGAACCCGATTTCGATTTCAAGGCATGCAAACGTTTGAGAACAGCACGAGAATTGCAATGGCCAATTGAGGAGTCGTCTAAACTCAAGGAGCTATAATTGTGGACACCATCAACTTCGACAAATTCATGATCCTGCTCCAGTTCATCATTGGATGATGATTGTAGCAGCAACAAAGCTGCAATCTTCTCCTCATCAAAGGTATCCAAAAAGTTGATTTTCGATAAATCGGGACTGGAGAAACTGTTCCGTTTACTTTGGCTAATGGCCATCACTTCGGGACGTTTTAAAATTTCATTGGCATACAAAGGATTACCAAAGTCGTCTTTATCCGTATCACGATGGCCTCCCGCACCCCCTGTGCTACCATTAATAATATCCTCCATGGTACATGCCTGCGACTCACTAACACTTTCCGCACGCTTCGAACGACCCGTACCGAAAATGTTATCCAAAACATTTTTATATTTTTTCTTTTTAGCCAAGTCCACTTCGGGATTTGTATTAGAACGTGGTATATCATTTAGCGACCCGGTCATTTCACTTTCCAGAGTATTGATACGTTTACGATGTGGCGGCAGTGGGGGTAAAGGTGGTGGACAATCCAGATGTTCTTCCATTATGGCATTGATGATACTCTGTGAACATGGTTTCATTTCTTCATAGATACCCGAGGCAATAGAGGCTCGTGAAAGTCTGCGGGATAGGCGTGGTGGTATATTACCTTCAAATATTTCCTCATAGATTTCCGAAGCTCGTGATAAACGACCACCCGACCAATTAAAGCTATTATTTGAAATGGGAATTTGTGGTAGGGGTCCCAAGGCTGCCAGAGCATCTTTAACGGCACTGAAAAGAGTGAAAAACATACATTTGTTGAAAAAAGTTAAATTGTGGTTAGGTACCCAGTGGGAAAATGGAAGGTATGGTAAACGAAGAGGTAATGCATAAACACTATGATTTATACATTCCAGAATTCATTATTGTTAACACGGTCCATGTCCTAGGAAAATAATGCATTCCTTTTGTTTGCCTAAGCGATTCGTAATATAATGCAATCTATATAATGCATTTTGGACAATCTTTTAAGTATACATTATATAATTGATGTATCCCAATGCATTAAATAATTAATACTTTATCATTTGTTTTATAATTCATTCCCCCAGAATACATTAAAATTATGTTCTTTTAATTTGAAATATAATAAAATAATTTATTAATAATAAACATAGTTTATATGTATTTCATAAATATATGTACGTATTCTTAGAATACAAAAACATAAACAAACAAACTCATTGTGAATACATACAAAAACATAAAATGTAATTCATTTTTGGATTATGTTTAAATAAATTCTTATTTCTCGCTACGTTTTTTAGCGAGATGTGTTTTCTTAAACTGCCTTAATTTTATCAAATGGAATGCCTTTTTAACATCCTTCTTATATTCCTTCTCGTCGTATCCTTCCCTCTTTGACACCTCTGCAAAAAATAATATATGTATTAATATGTATATTCTAAAAGTATTTAATGTAGAAAATTTGAACAATTTTACTTACCATACATTAACTTATTTATATTTTCAAAGGACTTAAAAGCCATTTTTCCTTTTATTCCTTCAAAGTTATAGTTCATAATCAATTCTTCGGAAAGTACTCTACATAAGTTTTTTACAACTCCAGAAGGAAACAATATTCTTTCCATGATGGGTATCTGGAAAAAAAGAATTTGTCGTTAATAATCATATTAGCATTTTTTAATATTATTCAATACTTACAAACGAAGCGAAGTCTTCCCCAATTTTTTTCTCAACTTTGTGGAGATCTGCCTCATTTTGTATGGGAAAGTATATTTTTTTCGCATCCTGTGTCAATAGAGTATCTAGTTTTATTTCAATTTTGGTCAGTACATTTATACATGTATCAAATTTATCTGCAAAAGTATGAAATTAAAGTGTTGATTTAAATATATATAAAATTATTTATGATGTAATGTTTATGAAATAAAATACTTACCATTTAGTATTTTAATGTTTTTCTCAATATCTTCTATTCGGGCCAATTCTATAATATAAGAAATATGTTATTTATTTATTAATGTATATATATTTAAAGTATTTTACCTGATTTTTTATTTTCGTCAGTTTGAAGTATTGCGTTCTGGGGTGCAAGAGGTGACACAAATTGTTTTTTTATTATAGACATTTTAAAAGTTTTGGTTTGGTATCAATCTTGAGAATTTAATTCTGTTTATGGAGAATTGGGAGGAATACAAATTTATTTTGGTATGGCAATCGAATTAATTTATATAATATATCATCACAGTTAAACTGTTCAGCAGTTGTGCAAGTGCATCCTTCGCTTAAAAATATTCCAATTTCTAATGATTGCATCGGCTCCGTATAAAAATTTGTGCAATTCAAAATTTTATGTCCAACTATAAAGAGTTTATTTTCGTCATTAGAGAAATGTTTTATTTCTACTGCGAATCCAGATTTAACAAAACAAAATTTATCGGCACTTTTCAAACTTAAATAGAATCCTGGAAGATTTAGAGATGTTATTACTCCTTTTCTATCATATTTTACTGCACTCTCCTCAGTATCGTCTATATAATTATCATGTACAATTTTATTATTTAATTGCTGCAATATATTTCTGGGGCTCTTAACTTGTTGTTTTAAGTGCTGCAAAAAATTTTCAAAGTCGTAGGCTGAAAAACTTCCCAAAAATCCTACTTTTTTTACACACTCCGTAAGATGCAGTAGTGAATGTACATTGTACGAAACATAATGTTCGCCAAATATCACTGGGAAGGATTCGACATAGTATTGTATCATTTGTGATGCTGTGTCTAAATATTTATGATAACTTTGTTCTGCTATCAGAATCCTATATGCACAATGTAATAAGCAAAAATGATAGTAAAAATCGTTGTCAACAATATCTGCCAAAATAACTATTCCAGTGTATAAAACGAACTGCCTAAATTCAGTTGCTTTCCAACGATGTACTTCCTTTAAACCTCTAGGTTTTCTACAAAACTCCCTAGTTATAAATGGGACAAGGGATGCTAATTTGAACGAAATTTCATCTTTTTTGATCTGATTTATTTTAGTTTTAGTTTTGTTACCTAAAAGCAAGATTATAGTTTTTTTTGCAACACCTAAATCAATGAGATGCATAGGATCTAAAGGGAATTGACTTATCATACCAATTCCAATATCCTCTAGTCCTAAAGTCGCATCCATACTTAGTCTATGGAAACTGACATTTTTTCTATCTTTAAAATCTTCATCAGTTCGGGGAGATGCAACTGTCGTACTAAAAACCGTTCTATTTTCTAGTCGCCTACCTATTTGCGTACATTTGCAACATCCCTCTAAGGCATTGTGACCAACGGTTTGACAAAGGAACGCGCGTGCGGGAGCATCACAGATAAAGCTTCTTATTTTTATTGAAATATTTAATTCTCCAAGTTGAAGACCAGTTTCTTTTAAATCATTGAATTCCTTAAGAAAGTCGTGTAAATAACTATTTACACTAAACGGCTTTATGGTTCCTAAATAAATTCCAATTGGAAAAACTTTAGCTCTCGGGTTATCGGCAATTCTTGCCAAAATTGGCCATAGTGCCAAACTAGAAGATTTATAGAGTGGAATTCCATCCACATTTATATCTAAATAAATGTTATCGCAATGTTTTATTATACTTTCGAGTTTTAACAGTTGATTTTTTAGTCCAATGTGCAGATATGAACCAGGTGTCACTGTCCTAAGGGTACATGTTTGGTTTCTAATTAAGGATTTGGATGACACTGGCATATTAACTGACAGACTTTCGGAAGATAAAACTTTTAATAAGTCATCAAAACACTCTCTAGATATATTATGTTTCACTGCCCAATTTGTTAATCTGCGGTCAAAACTTTCTTCTGCTTCTTCTTCTTCGTTTTCTATATTCAAAGTAGGAATTTCTTCTACACAAATATTTTGTTCACTTGCACAAATTAAATTATTTTCATTTGATGCACTTGCACAACGTTTATTTTTATGTGATATTAAACGCCTCCAATGTCGCTTTGAATACATTTTATAAACTTACGTCTTCACTGTCACACAAATGAAACAAAACTAAACAAATTTACAAATTTCAACAATAACGCGACATGAAGTCGCCCGAAAATAACGGGACACAAAAAAAAAAACAAGAAAAAAACTATGAAACTACACATTCCATTATGTATAGATTCTGGAATATAGACGGTAATCAATTTGCAGATTTCGTCAAATGAAATTACCATTTCGCTTCTATTGGGATGAATAATATAATGCATTCCATAACAATAATGTTATAATCATTTTTTTCTCAAATTGCATTCTTTTCTCGAATATTTTAGACAAATTCTGTAATGTAAATCATATAATGCAAGAAATTATTCATTATCAATGTAATGCATTCTCCATTTTCCCACTGGGTAAGAGAGAGGGAGAGAAAAAGAGAGAGAATTAAAAAAAAAAATAAATAAATAAATTGAGGTTAGGGAAGAGATCGAGAGAGAGAGAGAGAAAATGATGATTGTGGTTAGGAATTATTAAAAATAAAATATTTGAGGTTAGGGAGGATAGAGAGAAATTACTATGCTCAGGAATTACTGATCTGATCTGATGGAAGACGCGAATTTTTAAAAATATTTTTTAGGTCTAGTGGAAGGTGTGGATTTTTAAAAATATTTTTTTAGTAGATCCTGAGATGTTCTATAAGAAGATTCTGAAGAAATGACTAAGCTCAGGAATTACTGATCTGATCTTTTAGAAGAGCTATCATCTTGACCACTAAGAGATATTTTCCAGTTCTTAAAAAGCCTTTCGTAGTAATTTTTTTTAGAAAACTGCTAGAAAGATTTTCGGATCTTCTCTCACAAGTCTATTCAGGTCTTCATTAAGGAGATTATAAGAAGGATATTCTGAATATCTATTAGTAGACGTTTCATACATTCAATTTGAAGGCATTTCTGAAGGCCCTAGACAAAATATTCGTTAAAAAATCTAATGTCCTGAAGGTCCTAGACACAATATTCGTAGAAAATCTACCATCCTGAATATCCTGGACAAAACGGACCTTCCTGAAGGTTCCAGAAAAAAAATCGACGGTCCTGAAGGTCCTGGACAAAATACATTTTTTAAAACCTACCTTCCTGGAGGCCCTACACGAAATATTCTTTAAAAATCTACTGTTCTGAAGGTTCTAGACACAATATTTGTAAAATATCTACGCTCCTGAAGGTCCTGGACAAAATATATTTTTTAAAACCTACCTTCCTGAAGATCCTAGACAAAATATTCGTGAAAAATCTACGATCCTGAAGGCCCTAGACAAAATATTCGTTAAAAATCTACGGTCCTGGGGATCCTAGACAAAATATTTTTTTACAAAATCTACGCACCTGATGGTCCTAGACCAAATATTCTTTAAAAAATCTGCACTTCTGAAGTCTTTTTGGCGAGCTGAAGGGAGTCACTGTAGACGAACTGAAGGGAGTCTTTGTAGACGAGCTGAAGGGTGTCTCTGTATACGAGCTGAAGGGAGTCTCTGTAGACGAGCTGAAGGGAGTCTTTGTAGACGAGCTGAAGGGAGTATTTCTAGACGAGCTGAAGGGAGTATTTCTAGACGAGGTGAAGGGAGTATTTTTAGAAACGCTGAAGTTTTTATAGACTATCTGAAGGGTGTGTTTTTAGACGAGCTGAAGGCAATCTTTTTTGACGAGCTGAAGTTAATCTTTTTAGACGAGCTGAAGTGAACCTTTTCAGACGAGCTGAAGGGATTTTTTATAGAGGAGTTGAATAAGAGTCTTTTTAGACGAGATGAAGGAAGTATTTTTAGACGAGCTGAAGGAAGTCTTTTAGGCGACCCAAACGGAATCCATTTAGGTGACCTAAAGGGAGTCTTTTGATACGACCACAAGAGAGTATTTTTAGATGAGTTTAAAGGAATCTTTATTGACGACCTGAAGAGAACTTTATATAGATATGTAATTAATCTTTCTAGAAAAATAATAAAAATCCATTTACAATTTATTTCAAACCAAAAAAATTCCACATTTCAATTTCCAACTTACCTCAATTCACTTTTCGTACCCGCCCTACTGCTGCGGCGTTGTTCAAAGAACACTTGTCTGTATACTTCTAAATTCTTAATCGATTTCTTAATCCATTTCATGTGTTTGCGACAGGTGGCCTCTGTGTCCTCGGCAAAGTAGATAAAACAATCACGACGATTATGGGTCCAGAACAAACCGTACGAAAATTGTTTGGTACGCGAGGTGGCCAAACTGATGCTGACACCAGGCACATTAACCGATACACACAACTGTGTGTCACCTCCTCCTGAGGCTGGCTGCTGCGATTCCATTTCCAAAGATTTTATTGTGATCCTTAGGAAACAGGGCAAACATTTAATGGCTTCGATTTTCACTTCACATCGTGTCCATGCTTTGAATTTCAACGATAATGGGCGTTTATCATAGATATCTAATTTAATATCTGTTAACATCGAAATTTCATTTGATTCCATAATGGCAGGATAATATCAAGTTTAACACAACAACAAGGATTGACTTTTAAAGAGTAGAGGAGTATTAAATTTCTTCGATTTTTTTTCAACAAAAAACAAATAAATTCTTATTAAAAATGACTAACATATTCTTCTACATGTAAAAAAACCTAAGTAACTAAATTTTCTTTCTTTTTCCTTCTGTGCTTCTTGTTCCTCTTGTTCTTATTGTGTTATGTACAACAACAATGGCAAAGAAAAGGACTCTCCCATTACCAAATAAAGGCAATGATGAGAGAGAACGAACAGTGATGCATGTTTTTGATGGGTTATGTGGGAGAGAGAGAGAGGGCAAACAATGGATGGCAAATGAGTAACGGCGTTAAAATAAATGTTACAGGCAAAGGGTTTTTATAGATCCAAAGGAAATATTGCCATAGCAGAAAAGGGAAAAGGCAATAGGAATAGGTAATGGACAATGGGAACAGCAATACTCACATTGTTGTTGTTGTTGTTTCCAATGGTAAAATATCCCCCTCTTTGCTGTTGACTTTAGTAACGATTACCAACTACTTAACTGTTGTCACTCTCTCGAGCTCTCACTAATCAAAATCAGCTGTTTTAGTTTTGGCGCCTTTCAGCGAAGACACCAATAGGGGAAACAATTTGTTGATTCTTTTATTTGTTTTAAATTAAATTCAATTAAAATAATTTAATTATTATAAAATATATTTATTTGGTAAACTGTAAATACAACAACAATGGCAGAAGAGTCATATATGGAAGTGGAGGAGCCAGAGGAGACATTGTAAGTAAGAAGTGTGAAGAAAATTTTATTTTTTGGGATGTGTCTTGGGATTGAAATCATGATTATTTCTACATCTAGGTATGTCCGCAACTTGGATGATGTCAAGGGCATAATCAAACATGCCAAATTGGATGAAAGGAATCTAACGCATATAACACAGGTAATTGTTAATACATTTTGCGACCCAGACGAACTGGAGGGAGATTTTATATACGAGTCTTTATTAGAAGAGTTAAACTGAGTCTTTATAGACGAGCTTATGTCTTAGTCGATTTTATGCGGTCTATATTTTAAGGAGCACCTAATCTGAAATTCCTGATTTTTCAATGATAGAGTAACTTCTGATAATGTGGACCATGCGTCAAATGTGGACCACCCCCCATATCTAATAAAATGCTTGAAATAAGTCAATGCCGCCTTGGTAAATGTTTTCCTAATTAGTGAAAACAAACATCAAACTTGGTTTTTAATAAATAATTGCAATGTTGAAAATTTAGTAGGTGAAAATGTTGCTCTGATTGTAAAAGTGTGATTTAAAAATTTTAAAGCACAATAGTCGAACGATTTTGTAAAATAGTCGAACATTTTGTTTTTCTCGAATATAAAGAGGTTATGTGGTTTTCTTGTTTTCTTTAACAAAAATACACGTTTATCTGTAATTACAATCGGTTATTTTTAAATTTTTATTCATTTTTGAAGCCGATAATTATTTTTAAATAAAAATATTCAATGTCGGGTAATGTGGACCACTATAAAAAAGTGGGACATTTTCATGAGGACGAGTTCGAAACAAAGACGCATTTAATATGCGAGGAGGTATTTATCCTCTGAAAACTTTATATCCGAAATTATAGGTGCCTCGGTTGGATAATGAAGCAAGGACCTTCAAAATACCGCAAATGGGGTGGTACCCTTAAATGGGGGCTATTCTAAAACATGGATCCATATATTTTTGCATTCATTGTTACCCAAGAGTCCAATAAATTGAAATTTATCACAATTAATCCACAACCTACCTTTAACTTACTGATCCTCATTACCCACACACACTGGTCCACATTACCCGCCAAGTTATTTTTATTTGCAGTTTAGAGTTTTTTGAAATATAATGCAATAACATTTTTATGGACAAATATATATAATTTTTGACCTGGAGTATAATTAGCCAACAAATCTACCATGTTGAGAAAACAATTTGTTTTTATTTTTTACCTTTGTTACGCCCACAATATAAAAAAAAGAAAATGGTGGTCCACATTACCCGAAGTTACTCTATATCTCTAATCAAATTATTGTCTCTCCTTTCAGGCCATTTACTATCCATCCGCTGAAATTGTTAGCGACAATCTAAAACTTCTCGAATTGGATGATCACATGATCAAACAAATCCACGAAGGACAATCTTTATACTTCAAAGGTGGTCACAATGAGAAGGTGGTACTGTGTACCGATGAAAAAACCTATGATGTAAAGGCAGCAGAAATTTCCAATAGCCTACTGTTGATACCCGATTTAAAATTTGCCGCCGCCACCAGTACATCACCATTGAAAAGTCCACGTACCGCCAATAATACTTCCCTCGAACGCAGTCTAAACGATAGTGCCGATGACGATTTGTTAATGGAACGTACCTTGGAGCAGAGGAAAATTCTAAAAATATTTCATGAATATTTTGAATGTCGTGAAATACGACCGAAATTTCGTAAAATGGGTGATCTACTACAATTGACACGTTATTCCGGCCCCGAACATGAAGAGGCAATAGATCGTAAATTGTTGTTTACATTCAATCAATTATTGGACACCATACAATGTAGTCGTAAGGAATTTGTTGAGGGTCTAAAACAGTATCGTGCCATAGAATTTGAAGGGTGGATGCGTGTCCTAGAATGTGAATATGAATATCGTATTGTCAACTTGATGGTGGGATTGATTGCAGAAAATTCCTGGCCTCTTGATGAGGTGGAACGTGAAGAGACCATCAATGCTTTGGAGGGTATTGCCCCAAAACAAATTGTTGAGGGCCTCTTTGATGTCTACACTATACCCACAGAGGGGAAGGAAAATCGTTATACTTATAAGGAAGATTTGGTGGCCCGAATTGTGGCACAAAATATTTTACAACCAGGTTTGAAATTTCGGGTGGATGAGTTTTTAAGCACCTGGCAAGAGGCTGTGCCCGAGGGCATGAAATGTGATGTGAGTAAAGAATTATAATTTGAGAATTTTGAAAAATTAAAAATGTATTTTTTTAGGAAAAATATCTAAGAGGTTTGGGTATATTCGATAAGGAAGGTGCGGTGCCTTGTATACGCTCATTGGCGGAAGAAAATTTGCCCCTGAATATACATGATCGCATGAGAATGCTGTTTAAAACAAAACCGAAATGGACTTTGGATGAAATTGAACCTTATATTGAGTAAGTAGAAATGTTTTTGAAGGAGATTTAAAAAACATTTTTTTCAAGACCTATGAATGCGTGGATTTTTTAAAAAATATTTTTTCAAGACCTAGGAAGGCGAGAATTTACAAAATTATTTTTTCGAGGGCTAAGAAGGCGTGGATTTTTTTAAAAATTTTTACATTTTTTTAAGAATATTTTCATTTTCTTTTTGGAATAAAATATTTCATATTTTTCCTTTCTTTTCAGATGCTTCTCCACCCCCATCCTTTCCGTTTCCCAAATTATGGCCAAATATGCCCGTTCATTAATGGAAAATGGTGTTCGTTATTATGTTACTAAACATTAAAGTAACCACTAGGAATTATTTTATTATTACTTTACTACAACAAAAATATCATTATTTACAAAATCAAATTTATTTTTTCTTTTTATTACGTTCAATCAATTATTGGACACCATACAATGTAGTCGTAAGGAATTTGTTGAGGGTCTAAAACAGTATCGTGCCATAGAATTTGAAGGGTGGATGCGTGTCCTAGAATGTGAATATGAATATCGTATTGTCAACTTGATGGTGGGATTGATTGCAGAAAATTCCTGGCCTCTTGATGAGGTGGAACGTGAAGAGACCATCAATGCTTTGGAGGGTATTGCCTCAAAACAAATTGTTGAGGGCCTCTTTGATGTCTACACTATACCCACAGAGGGGAAGGAAAATCGTTATACTTATAAGGAAGATTTGGTGGCCCGAATTGTGGCACAAAATATTTTACAACCAGGTTTGAAATTTCGGGTGGATGAGTTTTTAAGCACCTGGCAAGAGGCTGTGCCCGAGGGCATGAAATGTGATGTGAGTAAAGAATTATAATTTGAGAATTTTGAAAAATTAAAAATGTATTTTTTTAGGAAAAATATCTAAGAGGTTTGGGTATATTCGATAAGGAAGGTGCGGTGCCTTGTATACGCTCATTGGCGGAAGAAAATTTGCCCCTGAATATACATGATCGCATGAGAATGCTGTTTAAAACCAAACCGAAATGGACTTTGGATGAAATTGAACCTTATATTGAGTAAGTAGAAATGTTTTTGAAGGAGATTTAAAAAACATTTTTTTCAAGACCTATGAATGCGTGGATTTTTTAAAAAATATTTTTTCAAGACCTAAGAAGGCGAGAATTTACAAAATTATTTTTTCGAGGGCTAAGAAGGCGTGGATTTTTTTAAAAACTTTTACATTTTTTTAAGAATATTTTCATTTTCTTTTTGGAATAAAATGTTTCATATTTTTCCTTTCTTTTCAGATGCTTCTCCACCCCCATCCTTTCCGTTTCTCAGATTATGGCCAAATATGCCCGCTCATTAATGGAAAATGGTGTTCGTTATTATGTTACTAAACATTAAAGTAACTACTAGGAATTATTTTATTATTACTTTACTACAACAAAAATATTATTATTTACAAAATCAAATTTATTTTTTCTTTTTATTACGCATTTTCTTTGCCTTTTTCATATCCTCAATAGCTTCCTGCATTGCTTTGACAGCTGTATTGGGTTTTTGGTCACTATCTTGTACGGGTCCGGCAGATATATCAGGCACTTGCAAACCACCAGTGGCCGTGGGATATCTAAAGGAAATTTGGTGGAGCAAATTTTTCAATCAATTTAAAATCAAAATATAAACAATTCCATGAACCTACTTGAAACTAAAGCCTCGTGGGAAAATTGGTGTGGCCAATAACGATTTCAATTGTTGCCTTACATTGGCCAGGTGAATGCGATTGCGTCGTTTTTCTATGATAAAGGCATCTTCGTCTTGATCACTGCCACTGGAAAGGAAAAAAAACAATTCAAATTTATTTAAGATTTATAATCAATTTCCCTTCGACTTACGATTCATCATTGTAGCCCTCAATAACCATATCCATTTCTTCGGCTGTCTTCTTCATCCAACCCATTTCACTTTGCACCCGTTTCAATTTCAATTCTTGGCGATCAACTTCCCGGGCCAAATCCACACGTTCTCTAACAGCAGCCAAATAACGTTCCGAGACGGGGAAAAGGGGCAAATCCTCAGCTGCAATTTTAGAATATTTTTTGAAGGTAAGCAATATATTTTGTTTATATAAAAGTAGTTCGTACTTCTCTCTAAAGTTTTATAAAGCTTCACATAATTCTTCACTTCACCGGGTTCCATAAACATCACAGTTATACCATCCTTATTGGCTCTGGCTGTACGACCGGAACGATGGACATAATTTTCACTTGTACGGGGTACCTAAAAAAAACAGAATTTTTAATATGCAATAAATACAATTAACATTAATTTAAAGTAAAGAAAGAACTGAGGTAACAGCCTCTGGACTGGAGACTAGATACGACTTGTTGGTAGCTTAGCCTGTTGTTTTTACCCAATAGGTTTTGAGATTGGTTGTCGTTGGCCTAGTGATCCATTATAGTTGTAAATTATTATCTTACCTGATAATGTATAACATGTTCCACATTGGGTATATCCAAACCACGAGCCGCAACATCGGTAGCTATCAGCAGGCCACAGGGATTATCACGAAAACGTTCCAAATTCTTAAGACGTTGTTTTTGTATCATATTGGCATGCAAGGGTAAGGGTTCACATTTCAAGAGGCCAAAGAGGTTGGCCAATCTCTTAACACAATCAATGGAATTGCAAAAGACAATGGTACGTCCCGGATGTCTTTGGACAAAATAATACAAATAATAATCCTTTTGTTCCAAGGGGCAAATCAAACGGCATTCCGTCAGATTTTGGGCAGTTTCTAAAGAAGAAGAAAACATATTAAAATTTTCAATCTCATAAATGTTTCCCCATTCACTTACGTTGTGACCTTGTGATATCCACAATTTTGGGTTGTGATATACCCAATTCCTCAATCAGATTTTGGATTTTATCTTCGGCAGTTTGTTTTACAAATTTGGGACGCTTGCCATAGTTACGCTCTAAAAAAAGAAGAAAAAAATTAATAATCATCTCCCTCTCTCCATCTCATTTTGTTATGTGCCCCCTTACTCTGCATATGTTCCGGCAAATCGTGGACCAATGTCAATGTGGCCGAGAAAACAAAATTCTGTCTCGATTGCTTCTTCTGTTCATTGTCATTGATGAGCTTCAAAATTTGTCTCAATTCTTCAAAATGGCCCTTTTCCACCATACGATCTGTTTCGTCAATGACCAAAAAGCTAATATCCTCCAAATGCCTTAAATGTTTATTATCCTGCTGATAAAGTTCCCAAAAACGTCCTGGAGTGGCCACCACAATTTCCGGGCATTTTTTCAAAACACGTTCCTGTTTGGCCACTGCCAAGCCACCAAAAATGGCAGCCACTTTAATGCCTAAAAACAATATTTCAAAATTAATTATTTTTATTCAAGAAAAAAATAAAACCTCCGACCCACCTGTATACTTGGCTGCCGCCTCAATGTGATTTTTAACCTGCACCGCCAATTCACGGGTGGGTGTCAGCACCAAACCATAAAGAGGACTTTGATTTTCATCTTCTTCGCTTTCATTGCCACTTTCTTCATCCACCTCCATGGGCACTTCATATTCATCTCCCTGCGGCAATTCTTCTTCCGCTTCTTGATGTTTGTCCTTGGCCTTTGTTAAAGGTTTTCTTATACCAGTCTTTGAGTTTTTCCTTTTCAATTCCATTATACCCGCCAATAGAGGTATACCAAAAGCCAATGTTTTGCCGCTACCCGTCTCCGCAGCACCGAGAATATCTTTTTTACCCAATATGGCGGCGGGCAATGTTTTCGATTGAATTTCGGTGGGTGATTTGAAACCTTTTTCGGCCAAGGCTTTTAGTATGCAATCGGGGACACCGAGACCATTCCAACCCTGTTAAGAAAAATGGAATTTTTCGTTATTAAAATTAAAACTTCTAGGGCAAAGAAGGACGGAATACCAAATTAAAGCCTCTTCTTTTAAAAATTATATAAAAATATTTTAAAAAGCGGGACCTTCATGTGGGTATAGTCCAAAACATTAACCCATGTATCCTATTTTCAATATTAAACATTCTAGGAGCTTATGGTGTATAAGTCATTGAATGTCAAGGATCATGGTAATTCATATCTTGCAGTATTTTACAATAAATCATGACTGATCTTGCCCTGAAATACATACCACCAAATCATCCATGCTTACAGCATTGCCATCCACCAATGAGGGTGCCTCATTATCATCACTATCATCCTCATCGCTGTCTTTTTCTTCTTCATCCTCTTCATTTTCGTCCTCCTTTGGAGGCCTCAATAACTTGAAACGATCCTCGTTGTATTCCTCCTCCTCATCATCTTCACTTTCCGCCTGCTTGCCTTTCTTGTTTTTGTTCTTTTTATTTTGCTTATTCGCCTTTTTATCATTTTTAGTTTCATTAACCTTTTCGGCAACCCCTTGACCACCCTTCTTGGCCAATTTACGTTCCAGCTTCCTTTGTTCCCTTCTTTCACGGCGTTTTTGCAGCTTCAATGCCAAACGTTCTTTGTATGAAGCCTTTTTGCTTTTCTTGCCACCGACTTCGTTGTCATCATCACTGTCATCCTCGGATTCTGAGAGGGAAGCATCACTATCTTCTTCCTCGTCTTTTTCTTCACCTTCTTTTTTGGGTTTCTTGCTGGCCTTTTTACGTTCCATGCGTTTTTCTTTGCGTGTTGTTTTGGGCTAAAAAGTAGGAATTTTAATTTAAAAATCATTTCCAATGTGTAGTCTCCTCCACCTACCTTTGACATCTCCACCAAATTCGGATCATAGCTCTCCAAAACCTCCAGACCAATTAAACCCTCCAAACCCACACCATCCTCAGAGATAACATTACCTTTTAGTTTGACTTTCTCCCAACTGGCATCATTTTTGTTAATTCTGGGAAGTTTGGCCTTGGGGCCACCCTTCTGTTTATTCTGGACCATAATAGGGTTCTTCTTGCTTCCTTTTTCCTTAAGAAATTGTTTTATTTCTGTTGAATTAATAAATTAATGCTCCGCTGCATAAAACAATCCCGGCTGCACGTGTTTTTTTGTTTTGTTATGATTGCGTTGAGGGGATCACTAGATCGACTTTGACCATAACTGCGTATCCCTACTCTTGTTGTGTTGAGAGAACTGTCAAACAGAGAGAACAACTCTGCGTAACTGGTGGAGGCTATTTTTCTTCTGTGGCTGTTAAATTTAATTGTAAATTAATTTAAAACCATTATTAGTGGCACGAATTGATCTCCAAGTTAAATATATGTTTCAATATATTTATTAAAATTAAATAAATATTACTTGTGTATAAAATAACAACAAATTAAAATGCAAGAGACTCTTTTACTACTCTATTGTGTTAGAGTGATATGATTAGAACAAATGACAAAATAATGCGCGCCAAAATGTTGTGAAATTCTGCTTTAATCGTTAATGGAGGTCCAGATTTAACTTTTGCTGGCTTTAAACAATACAAATATTTCAAAAAGTATGCTAAGTTAAAGGGAAATGGGTTGGTTATTTGAATTGTATGCCCATGACTTAATTGATTATGAATTTTAAGATGTTTTTATTGTTTTTTTCTTTCCCAGTGACAGTGACGAAGTGAAGAAGCTGTTGCATGTGAATATAATTTTTTGTATAAAAATAAAAAAAAAAAACACAACCGGCAGCAATTATCCGAGATGATGTGTTTGCTGCTGCCGGCCAGAAAAAAGTGAGCCGGATACAGTAAGCTCAGTACAGCGGTTGAGAAATTCATGCGTTGCCATCTGGTCTGAAATTTAGGCCTGGCAAATACAACCCTGTCGAGTGTAGGGATCAAGAGGTAAGATAAAGGAAAAATGATAAATGTCGGAAAATGCGCGAGAATCCCAGAAAAGAGGGAAAATGGCATCTGGCTGCGGGGGTATAAAAGGCATAACGGAGGGGAAAATTCGATCAAATTTATTTGGTGTTTGGTCGAGAGACTATAATTTATAACAAATTTTCAAAACAAAAATCCCCAAGAAAAACAAAAAAATCCCCAAAATTTATTAAGACTTGTGTTTGTTTTTTATTGTTGAGTGCCTTATGCCTGCGAGCGAACAAAATAAAATCTCGCCAACATCCTCATCAACTAAAAAGGCAAGCATTGGCCCCTCCAAGTCGTTGCACGGAGGAGGTCATCCAATTTTTTTTTGGGCTTATTCGGCGAAAAGATTTATGTGGCATGGTTTTAGCCGTAGAATAGTTGGCTGGAAGACGGTTAAGTCCAAAGTGAAGACAGCACGTCAACGCAAGCTTGGACGCAGTTGGCCAATAAATTGATTTGTCTGTCCGTCCAAAATAATCCTGGAAAATAAGTATCTGGAAACCAGGTAACCTTTGTCGAAATTTAAAATTGAGATACGAATGTCCAGAGCCGAGCGCCTGGAAGAAATCTGAAAGTGGAAAGAAAAATGAATTAGTAATCAAAGACCAAATTAAAAACAAGCAAATCACCAAATGACAAAAAATTTAAAAAAACCAAACAAAAATATATTTACTAAATTTTAAGTGTTAGATTAAGTGTGTTATGTGTTAGTATTTAGTGATTAATATCTAAGATTTTAAATTGTGAGAATTTTTAACGCCTAACAAATGCGACAAGTGTAGGGTTACCCCAAATATCTTATTGGAAACTTGCGTTTGCCTATTTTGGGTCCAAATGGTAATCTCCCCAATAACGACTTAAGAGAGCTCTTTAGGTGAGGTAATAATATAATAGAGTGGCCAGAAGGAGCCGTTTCAATAGATTGTGTGGGTAGTCTGAAACAGTGACTTATCGATAGCTTTAGGTGTTAGGAATTCAGAATATTGACTAAGTGTTTATGTTAGGTTTAAGTAATCAAGAAATAATGAAATTAATAAATATTGTTTATGTGTAAATGTTTAGATTAATATGAATTGCTAGTTGTTTTCTGTGAGGGAGGAAGATAGGACGATGTTGCAGTAAGGTGAGTGTGTGTGGAATCAGGGGCCCTTTAAAATTAAGCCTTTATGAGGACGAAAAGGGTCAAGGTTGGGCGGGCGAAGTGCGGGAATAATTGACACCAAATTCCCTCGATATGGTCGTATGTGTGTTGTCATTTTGTATTGTTGTTTGTTGTTCTATTTCCGTTTTCCTTCTTGATTGTTCGACCCCTAGGGCTGATGGTGGTAGGGTTGGGAATTCACCCCTAAAGCGGTGCCCCGACTGAGCTGGTTGGAACCCCACCAGGAGCCGCAGTAGGCGGTACGCAACAAAGCCTTTATCATTTTCCAGACGAATGGTAATTCCCCGAAGGATTTAGTTTCAAGTAAGTTCATCAAATTTATTAAATGTTGACTATACATTTATTAAAAAAAAATCCCCCACCAAATTCTCTGGAAATTACGTGGAAAAATATTTGTTAAAAATCCTTGCCTTTCAGCCTTTGAAAAAAGTATTCTTTTAAATTTTCACACCATTCCAAGGCCTTGAGAAATGTCCTCTAAAAAATTCTCGCCTTCATAGGCCTTGAGTTAATTTTTAGAATGATATTTTTAACGAATATTTTTTTAATCCCTCCAGCAAATATTCTTTTAAAAATGTATGCTCTGCTAATCCTTGATAATAACATACCACCTTCCAAATTCCATACCAAATTTTAAAAATTTACTACATTTTTCCTCTCTTTATTAGACATTACTTCGTTTCATCATACAATCGTTTTAACAATTTTAAATACATTATCTTCCTCATGGATGCACATAGCATCCAGCAGCGTACAACGTTTTTTCTTCTTTTTTCATTAAATTTACAATAAAATAATTAGCTAAAATTTACAATCATCGGTTTATTGTGTGAGGCCCAACTTCTTTTTCAATGATTCGGGCATTTCTGGTGGTGGTGGTCTAGGCATACGCAAGTATACTTTAACGGCATCATAGATGAACCATTGGGCAGCGGTCAAGGTACCGATCATGACAATTCTGGGTACTAAGCCACCCCACAAACCTGTAAGTACACACACACACGTAACGATTAGTAATATTAAAATATATATTTTTTCTTTATAGAACTCACCACTCCAGCCCAAGGCCTTGGCCACATCCAAAGCCGATGAACCCTTGGCGGCTTGATTCAATTTGGAAACAACAGTATCAGCAGGATGTGAAACAATGGCACAGAATACACCAGCAATATAACCGGCAGCAAATGTGACAACCAACTGTTCGCCCTTGGTGCATTCTTGACGTGGTTTGGGTACAACATAACTTGAAATCGAAAAGAAATCAAAACATTTATTAATGTGCACTTTTTTTCTAGCACCCTTGTCATACTTACGCATACAACAATTCCAAAGTTCTTTCAAAGCAGGCAAACTTCATCATGGTATAGGGGATTTGACGCATCCACAATGGCACCAAACCCTTGTAGAAAGCACCCAAACCCTCTTGGGCCGACATCTTGGGCAATGCCTCCCTCAAGGTATTGGCAAAACCGGGTGTGGTCTGAATCTTAACCTTGGCCGCTTCCATGGGAGCCAAAGCAATATCAGCAAAGAATTCAGCCGAAGCGGAGGCGGCCAAATACAATGAAGTTCTGTACAAATAGGAATTCTCCTCACCAATGGCATTGGAATAGATAACTTTGAAGACTTCATAGAGACCGAATTTGCACAGACCCTGGGCTGAATAGCCAAAGAAGGTGGGTGCCCAACCCTTGGACAAACCCTTAAAACCATCCTCAGCCAATGTTACACGGAAACCGTTGACGACACTCTTATATTTGGCTGGATCGACTTGCAAACGACACTTGACCAAATCCAATGGTACGACCATTGTGTGTGTGGTACCACAGGAGATGACACCGCCCAAACCGCACAGGGCAAAATATAAATTCGAACCAAATTCACAGGAATCTAAAACGTAAGATTGTTTTGAATTAAGTTAAAATTATTAAAATTGTAAAAACTATTTTTGTTGTTGTGCTTACCGCCCTCAGCAGCTGCAGCAGCTTGGATATGATGATGTTCGGTCAATTGACCTTTTTCCATAGCTGGTTCACAGCTGGCTGTGGTGAAGGGCTTTTTGAAAGGCGAATTTTGAGCAGCCTCAATCAATGAGGTGAACAACATAATGATGTTGGGTTTTGTTTACGGGAACAACTGGAAAATGAAAAAAAGAAAACAAAGGTATGAAGATAAAGAGAAATTCTTGTTGAAAAAAATATTTAAAAAAAATCTACGCTTGTCTTTAAGCAATAAGAAGAGTCCTATGGATAGACTCTAAAAAAATATTCAAAAAAATCAACGACTATGAATAGACCATAAAAAATCTACGACTATGGATAGACCCTAAAAAATCTACGACAATGGATAGACCCTATTTTTTTTAAATTCACGCTTTGGATAGACCCTACAATTTTTGTTTAAATCTACGCCCATGGATAGACCCTGATTTTTTTTAAATTATAGTAGTTTTAAAAAATCTACGCTCATGTATGGGCCTAAAAAATTATTTTAAAAAATCTACGCCAGTTGATAGGCCCAAATTCGCCTCAGAAGAACTTTCCGACTGGACTCTACTGTGAAAAAAGTTCTGTAGGAAAATTCACCTCTGATTAAATATTCTGTAGACAAATTCACCACTGATAAAATCTTTCATAGAAATATTCACCTCCTATAAATTTCTATATAGAAAAAATTATTTTCTTTTTTTTATTCCGACCATATTTTTGCTGTAGCAAAAATCCTATAGAAATATTCACCTTCGATGAATTATTTTGTAAAAATTTTAAACCAAAGTCTTCATGCAAAAATAATCTCAGAATACACCTCAGAAGAACTTTCCGATTAATTCTTCTGTAGAAAACTTCACCTTCGATCAAATCTTTTGTAGAAAAATTCACTACCGATGAACTCTTCCATAGGAAAATTCACCACCGATGAACTCTTCTATAGGAAAATTCTTACTTTCCTGTATGAAAATTCACCACCGATGAACTCTTCCATAGGACAATTCACCACCGATAAACTCTTCCAAAGGAAAATTCACTTCCGATGAACTCTTCTATAGAAAAATTCACCTCCGATAAACTTCTATATAGATAAATGAATTTTCGATTTATCTTCCGATCATCTTCCTCCTGTAAATCCTAGTTAATATTAATTTCTTCTCTTGAAAAATTCACCTTCTTTGAAATTCAGAAAAATTAATTTTTGATTAATGTTCCGATTCATCAGGAAAAACTTGTACCCCTTCCCTTTGGCCTTTTCCAAATTCAATGTTATTTTGTATATATTTTTTATTTCATTGTTGTTTCGAAATTAGAACTTGGCAAGGAAATCTTTAATTTTTCGATTTCCGTCTTCAATGCCTGATCGATGTCCGATCGATGGGCAAATTTCAAGTTCAAGGGTTAATGTATTGCGTCACCGAAAATTCAATTTTTTTGTGGTTCGAAAAAAGCCTAATGAAACAGTGTTTTTCAAACGTAAACACTGTTTTTTAAAAGCAATTTTGAGGTTAGGGACGATTCCCGTCCATTGTAATTTGCCAAAAATGATGTAACTTTGCATTGGAGACAAAAAAATCGCGTGCAATAGAAGGTCATTAACACTAATTGGCCATAAGTGATGCATAATCAAATTGACATAATCCAAGGCGAGGATAGTTGGAAAATTTCGAAAAATTTTAATTTATTTTTTTTTTTAATTTTTATTGAAAAAAAACTGTAATGTAGTCTTCTTCAGCTTGGGTTTGTTTTATTTTGAAGAAAAAGGTTTTTTAATTTCCAATTTTTTTCACAAAGTCCAATATTTTTTTCATGTGTATTTTTTTTACATATAAATATGCACATATTTATATATACATTTTTTTAAAACAACAAAAAAATGGAATCTATACTACAAGAAAACCTTATGACATTTCATTATTTTTGTAAATTATATATATTGCATAACACTTCGTATATTTTTGCACTATCAACGAACTAGTCTTTTTTAAGTTTTTTTTTAATTTTTGAATTTATTTTTGTAATTGTTTATAAAATTTTTGTTATTCTGTTTTAAAACTCACTTTACAAAATCTAAAAATTTATTTTATTTATCTACGAAATTTATCTTTTGGGAAAAAAGAATAAATTTCGTTTTTTGTGGTTTCTATTTGAAACTTGGCGTATGCTACGCGTTCGTTAAACACCCAACAACTGAAATTAATTTCAAATTTTATTTGAAAATCTAATGAGATTTGAATACAAGATGCAAGAAATTGCATTTCTTGTTGCATACAATGAAGATGCACTCTCTGAGTAGAGAGACACCTGGGCGCTCAGAGAGAATTTCTTGAACTATTTTTAACCCATGAGTAGCGGAAATGAAGGGACAAACAAGAAACAATTTTATAAAATTTTTAATATATATAATAACTTTCCAAAATTATCAAGTCCTTTCTACCTTTCATATGGACCCAATAATAATATTCTCCTATTTTCCTTTTTGCAGATAAACTGCAGCCAACTCTCCCACTCTCATCCAACACAAATAAATAACAAAGTACACCAGTTTTCACCCACATATCCCGTTATGGTCCCCTATGGGTTAAGTACAAACAAAAACAAAAATGCGTGAGTACAATTTTCTGTTTTTACTTGCAACTAAAAAAATTGCAAAAAAAAAATATTTAAAAATAAATTTCATTACCAAACTGAAAGATGTTCTCAATGCAAGGCCGCCACAGTCTTTATGCAATAGCAGAGACCTGTGGGAGAAGAGTTCAATTATTTTGTTGTGGTTTCCCGTTATATTTCTCTTGACAAAAAATAAGGACTATTAAGGCAAACAATAAATATTTTAAAAAATCCAGTCAGTCTAAGGACCCTGAAAAACTATTTTTAAAAAAATATCTAAAAATTTTTTTAATCCACGCCTGTTGGTAGACCATAAAAAAATATATTTAAAAAATCCTGTCTAAGGACCCTACAGCGGACGTTCTTCTCAGATGCCATAAGGAATCCTGTCCGCTTACATACCCTGAGAAAACAGGGACTTAGTGAGCTCATGAAAGCGACCAGACGACATACAACAGGGCGCATAACTCAAAACTCGATATTGTTGGAACTCCTAGATCAAACGCGCAAAGAAAAAGTCTAGGATAAATTTCTGTGTGTCGATAGAAGGAGTCAACGACGCTGCTAGGTTTCGAAGACTACTATCCCAGGATCCGAAGTCCATCGGAAGTATCAAGAAGAAGGATGGAGCGTGAACGCACTCTGGTTTTGAGACTCTTAATCTCCTAGCTGAGACTCATTTCCCAGGTTGCAATGATATGGGTACCATCGACGGTGAACGTGATGACACTCAGCCCCTTGTGACTCTAGAACAGAAATAAGATACGATGGGTAGTCAATACATTCAAACCGTATAAATCGCCGGCGATGCTTCAATTTGCCTCCCCAAGAATATATCCTATCCTTGAGATAAGAGGGCAAGTCTGTAGAATCTTCACTGCACGAGGTGGGTACATTGAGAGGAATATGGAAAATTCAAATTTTACGCTGGCCGCCTTCCTAGATATATAGAACAACGTTAAACTTGAATCCATAAATCGCTCACTTAAATAAGTTGGCATTCCTGATACCCTTACGTATTGGATACAGCAGAATTATGCATTATATATACAGCAGAATTATACATTCTATGGTTCTCTTGTGTGTTGGAACTGTCTGCGCCACAAGTCGACATCCAGTAAACTAGATAAGGTACAAAGAGCCGCCTCGATTTTAGTTACAGGAGCCAGGAGGAGTACGCCACAAGCAGCTCTGAGCGCAATGCTGAATTTTAAGCCTCTGGCCCTCAGCATTAAGTATCAGGCATTTCTTGTTGCATACAAAGCCTTCTGGCCTTCTATACAGACGGATCCAAGATGGAAGAAAGTACAGGGGCGGGCGTCTACTGGTAAAAGCTAGGCCTTGACACATCCCCAAACCTAACCTAACCTAAGGACCCTACAAAATTTTTTTCAAAAAATCCACGCCAAAATTAAAACCTTTTTATTAATTTTTAAAAATAATTTTAATTTGTTTATTTTTTATATGATTTTGTCGATATCTTAAACTCAGTATAGTATACAAAAATGTATTTTGATTTTATGTGTGTTATGTATGTATGGTTGTTGTTGTAGTAGTTATGTAAAGCAATAATACTTTTAAATAAGTACATATTTTTTTAATTATTTATAATTTAAATGGACATGAGTTAGTGAGGGCGAGAGGAGTAGGGGATATTTTGGGGCTGCCCAATATAGCGGTGAACACATATTTATATTTTTTTGTTTGTGTGTGTGTGTTAAGCACCGCATGGCTATTTTTTTCTTAATTAATTATTTTTTATTGAAACATTTAGTATGTATATATATAAAAAATATAATACTCAATTATTATTTTTTGTTTAAACAATCTTAACATAAACATATATATCTAAGCATTAAAAATGCATGCAAAAGTTTAGTAGTTACAACAACATGATGGATTTGGATTATGAGAGGTCTCATCAGGGCCATAATACTGCCGCATGTATTATGTGGAGACCCCTGGCTGGTTATATTATATATTTGTTTCCATTTCTTTTTTCCTTTTGTATAGTTAAACTATATTTAAAAAAAAGAAGTTCGGTGTATACCTTAAATTAAATGCTTAATTGGATTGGATTTGAAAATAAAAAAAATACCTTAAAAACTAATATTGGCAATCAAATTTGTTGTTGGAATTTAATTTTCTTACCATAAGAAAATTAAAATCGAAACAAACAAAAAATCTACAAAATAAAATATTTATAAACAATTATACAAAATTATGGCTATGATTCGGAAGTTTCCATGTGTCTGTGTACAGTAACAGGAGCTAAAATAAGATGGGTAGCTCCCGGCACGGAGCCACCACCATCATCACAAGCATTACCCCCAGCTGCCAATGAACTTTGTAGGGGTATTGTGGTCGGTTCATATACCCCACGACTGGGTGAATGTGAATATTTTTTCGGCGAGGTTAAATTATAACGCGACTCCTTGGACGAGGGAAATCCATAATGTGATGATGATGAATGGTGTTGTTGTTGTTGCTGACGATTTGTGGGCGATGATATGGATGTTGATATGGACATTGTATCGGATTTACTGTGACGTTTATCGTTCAGCAGCAGCGGCTCGGCCAGTGTAAAACATTGATGATCCGATGAATCTTCATGTGGTGTCATGGTGGAATAACCATGATCCGATTCACCATTTGGTGGCCGACGATAACTGCTACCCGTACTCATGTGGTAGGGGGATATATCCGCCGCATTCATAAGGCTACGTTGGGCGGCAGTGTGATCATAGCCACCACTAATACCACCACCTCCCGGGGGATCATCTGCCTGGCAATCATCAAAATTGAAACGTGACAGGGGGAGGCCATAGTTCTCTTCTTGCATGGAATCCATATAGAATTGTTCCTGGGAGGAGCTGTCGACATTGTGGCGATAACAATAGATGGCAAAACCGATGACAATGGCCAGGACAATTAAAGCACCACCTACTGGGCCAAATGCCGAATAATTGCTGGGCTTTTGCGAAGGATTATAGCCATGGGCAGCCATCAAGTCATCATCATACAAGTCACCATAGGGTGACAAGCTGGCAAGGACACCTGGAAGAGAGAGAGAGAGAGAGAGAGAAAAAAAAAACAAAAAAATTATTAAAAAAATAGTCGATTTTTTTTTTAATATTTTTTTCAAGGCGTGGATTTTTTTTAAATATTTTTTTCAAGGCGTAGATTTTTTTAAAATATATTTTTTTCAAGGCGTAGATTTTTTAAAAATATTTTTTTCAAGGCGTAGATTTTTTAAAAATATATTTTTCAAGGCGTAGATTTTTTAAGTATTTTTTTTTTCAAGGCGTAGATTTTTTTAACATATTTTTTTCAAGGCATGGATTTTATAAAATATTTTTTCAAGGCCTACCTTTTTTTAAATATTTTTTTTTTCAAGGCGTAGATTTTTTTTAAATATTTTTTTCAAGGCCTAAATTTTTTTAAAATATTTTTTTCAAGACGTAGATTTTTTAAAAATATTTTTTTCAAGGCCTAGATTTTTTTAAATTATTTTTCAAGCTGTAGATTTTTTTAAATAATTTTTCAAGGCCTAGATTTTTGTTAAATATTTTTTTCAAGTTGTGGATTTTTTAAAATATTTTTTCAAAGCCTATATTTAAAAAAAAATTAAGGCCTAGATTTTTTTAAATATTTTTTTCAAAGCGTAGATTTTTTTAAAATAATTTTTCAAGGCGTAGATTTTTATAATATATTTTTTTCAAGGCGTAGATTTTTTTAACAATTTTTTTTCAAGGCGTAGATTTTTTTTAAATATTTTTTTTCAAGGCGTAGATTTTTTTTAAATATTTTTTTCAAGGCGTAGATTTTTTTAAAATATTTTTTTTCAAGGCGTAGATTTTTTTAATATCTTTTTCAAAGTGTTTTTTTAAGGCGTAAATTTTTTTTAATATTTTTTTTCAAGGCGTAAATTTTTTTTTAATATCTTATTCAAAGTGTTTTTTTTAAGGCGTAAATTTTTTTTTAATATTTTTTTTCAAGGCGTAATTTTTTTTTAATAGAGGCCTAGATTTTTTAAGATATTTTTTCAAAGCGTACATTTTTTAATATTTTTTTCAATGTTTTGAATTTTTTAAAAATATTTTTTCAAAGTTTTGAATTTTTTAAAAATATTTTTTTAAAGTTTTGAATTTTTTAAAAATGTTTTTTCATGGTTTTGAATTGTTTAAAAATATTTTTTCAAAGTTTTGAATTTTTTAAAAATATTTTTTTCAAGGTTTTGATTTTTTTTTTTTTAATATTTTTAAGATTTTGAATTTTATAAAAATATTTTTTCTGGGTTTTGAATTTTGCAAAAAAATATTTTTTCATCGTTTAGAATTTTTCAAAAAAAGTTTTCAACTCACCATTATAGCAAGTCGATTGGGCACTACAGAAAGCCGCCGCAAATCCATTACCATCCACATCCTGCTGGCACCATTCACAACCCATAACACCCAAACATTCACGCTGAGTATTGTAAATATCACAATTGATGTTGACACAAGACGGTAGACCGAGCATCTGTTCATGCATTAGCTGGGAAGACTCCATGGTATAGGATTCATAGGGTGGCTCACAATACGGATATTGTTTGGTGATATTTAAATAGGATAAATTCGGACCACCGTCATCAATATCCTCATCTTCTGCATCAAGTAGAGATGTGACCGAATCCACACCCACACCATTTGTGGCCACTGTCATGGGACATTCACAGGGACACTCACAATCCGATTGATCCATACGCTTGCAATTTAGGCATTGGCGATCAATGGTACTGCAGGGGCAAAAGGCACCACCATCACAGGTGGAATTGAGGACGGCAGCAAAGATGTTGGAACCCTTGATAAGGGCTATGGCATATTTGGTCCGCTCACCATGTACCACATTGGTGAGGATCTCATTGAGAGAGGTGTTGAACACGTAGTAACGTTGCAGGGTACGATTTTGATAATTGGCACAGGCCAATTTGCGTACCAAACTTTTGTGATTCAAGATGTCATTGGCCAAATAGGATTCCTTGTGGGTAATGTGTTCATGGGGCCGCCTTTGATTACGTGTGGCCGTCTTGGCCTCCATCATCGAGGGGTGGGCCACCAAATAACCCTCATTTTCAAAGAGCAGACACTTGATGTTGTGCATCAAACACAGCGGCGTGGAATCCAAGATGATCTTGTAAAGATAGGCATAGGGAACATCCATGGCCACAATGGCCACCGGTTGATCACGTTCTATGGAATGTAAAGCATTTGATTTTCCTTCAAATATGGTGTGGGCAATGGTGATGATGTAACCTGCCCCGGCGGCATCTAGGTAAGGTTCTGTAACCACCAATCTGCCTGGGTTTTGTATGGCCTTGCGATACCAGGTGCGTTGTGAGGGATCAAAGAGATTGTTAAGCAGGCAACCGGGATAGACCTGCAACACACCATTCACCGAGGCAATGTAACGCCGGATGATGAAGTTCCTCAACGATCCACGGGCATCTTGATGGCGCTTTTTCAAATGCTGCATGGCTGTGTAGAGGGCATTTACTTCTTGCCTAATTTGTGGCCTTAACCCTGGATTGGCCAGCAGCCCCGTGGAATCTTTCAAATAGGCAATGATACTTTCCGATATGGTTTTCAATTGATTTTGTGACGAACTAACACGATTATTGTGCAGGAAGGTAAATGGCGATTCAAAGGCCAATGAACTTAGAAATAATGTGGCAGCATCCATGGTGGATATTTGTCGAAAGTAGCGGCATAAATTTGTGGTTCCCGCCGGTGGTAGCAGATCCAAACGATGATAGATTAAATCAATTGTCGTGAAATACTGTTCATAATCATCGCTATGGGGTGGTGGCGGATACATGGGTATATTATTTTTTGAGGCAAAGTGTTTCAGGGTCAGTGGCAAGGCGGCAGGGAGTTGAAGATTTAATTTCAATTCTGTATTTTTATTCGCTGTAGAATTGGCTTCCTCCGTCCTCCTGGTGTTGACCATACACAGGACATAGAACCCCAAAATATTATGCCATTGATATGTTCGTATGAATTTCTCTTGCTTTCGATTTTTGGTCAAATAAATTGTGGTGGTGGCATTGCCATTTTCTTCCGCCAACATTCTCTGACGTATTTCGGCAAAATTTGTAGAATTTTCCAAATATTGTATATCCACGGGGAAAGGGGTTTGATTCAAAGTCACCGGTCTGGGGAAAGCTGGATGTGTTAGGGTATTACCATTTGTCTCTATCAGGAAGGCATACGAGTTGTCACCCTTATTACTCAGGGCAAATTGCTGTTGCTGATAATGATAGCTATTCACATCTTCTATTAAATCGGAGAGATATAAATTTACACCCACTACACCGAATGGGGCGACAGCATGGGTTATGGACACAATGCTATCTGTAAGGAGAAAAGAAAAAAAATATTAGAAAAAATATTATTTAAATTGAATTAAAAAATCCTTACCCTTACTGCTCGCATCCACAATGGGTGGGTGGACCTGCCATGTCTTTATCAAATAGGGATCTTGAAAATCTTTTTGAAAAATGGCCGTGGCGGTGCGTATTATTGTATCCTGTTGCATTTTGGTTAGAAAAAATAAGTTGCCCTTTAATTGTTGTAAATCTGCTGGTTTATACCAATCCTTGACATCGATATCATATTTGGTGTAATTTTGTGAGGTTATGTCCGTGAGGAATTGGCGCTCATACATTATGCGTTTTTCATCTGAAAGAAAGACAGAAATGGGAGATATTAAAAAATTTTATTTAAAAAATATAAAAATATTTTTTCAGGGTCCTTAGAACAGGTCTTAGAACCGGGCGTACATTTTTAAAAGTATTTTTCAATGCCTAGAACTAATTTTTAGGACCACTTAAAGACCTCTAACCTCGTGAATTTGTATGTCACCTTTATGTCCTCAGAATGTGGATTTTTTAGACCACCTTTAAGGCCTCAAAGTGTGGATTTTTAGACCACATTTAAGGCCTCAGAATTTAAGCCACTTTTAAGGCCACAGATTTGGAATTTTCTAGGCCACCTTTAAGGTCATAGAGTGTGGATTTTTTAGACCATCTTTATGGCCTTAGAATGTAGATTTTTAGGCCACCCCGAATACCTCAGAATTTAAGCCACACTTTAAGGCCACAGAGTGTGGATTTTTAGGCTTCACAGTATGGATCTTTTAGGCCACTCTTGAAGGCCTTTAAGCAAGGACTTTAAACCTCTTCAGTCCACCTTACCGCCATCTGAAATTATTTTTTTCTATTACTCACCCAAAACCACCCCGCAAGCATTGATGACAATTGGCTTCTGTAGCAATTTTTGGCCCTTGGCCACAACATTTAAAACATGCATGGCATCGGAGAAATTCGTTAGCAATCCTCGGGTAATATAGACAAATTCGATGGGTGTTTGGGCACCAATAAGGCTGGCATTTTCCAAACGCGATAACATTTTGAAAGCATACTCAAAACCCAATGAGTGATTCGTTAACGTGCGACTCAATGACAAACTTCCAATATAATTTAGAATTTCCTCTTTACGTTCACGCGAACTCAAATAGAGGCCATTTGCTGCATCCGTATCGGAGGCATCTAGTAGCAGCATATTTTCCACTTCATCGGAAACACATACCAGGCTTATTAAATCATTCGATGATAGTAATTGTAATATATTTGATATGTATGATTTTGCCAGCTCCAAGAGTTCACCACTCATTGCCGAACCCACATCGAGCAGAAGGAAGACATATTTCTTTTGTATGACCGAGGTAAAGAGATAACGAAAATGGGAGTCGTGGTAGAAACGATTATACGAATCACTGGCGTCATCACTGCGTGAGAGAAAATAAATATGTTTAATGTGATTTCCCACATGGGGTTTCTCCAGATTCCAGGGTGATTTGTCGTTTTTGAGAAGCGATTGTTTTAGGGATTTGATTTTTTCTTTGATATAAGAGTTCGCCTCCATTGTTAGTTCATTTTTTTCGTTGAGCAAAGAGGTGTCTATGTAATTTTTCATTAATGGAGCCGTGTAATCATCAGTCTTATCATAATTGAGTATTTCGATTTGTTGTTTATTGTAATTTTCCGCCAATGAAGACGATGACGAGGTGGTGAAACTTGTTGAGTCCACATCGTAACAGGATTGTATGAAAGTGTTTAAATACAGGGGTTTTATGTGTGGACTCAATGGACGTTCTATGTCATTTAATTCCATATCAAATTCAGGTTCGGAGTCAGAGTCATCTTCCTCTTCTTCTAGGTCTTCTTCATATTCCGCGGTGAATTGTACAATTTGGGTGATATTGGTTTGGAAGAAATCTCTTAGGTCGCGTACAATATGCAGGGCTTTTTCGATTTTCTCCGCCAATCTTTTGCTGAAGTGCTGCAGATCTTGTTGTAGTTTATATTCCAAAAGGGCCAGGGGTATGCGATCACCATTTATCGAGAGATTTTTATTGAATGTAAATGCCGAGGAACTGGAGAAATGCATGGAATCGAATATTTCCTAAAAGACAAAAGGGAAGGGAAATTAGAAATGTTTTTAAAAGGGTGTTCCAAAAACTAACCTGTATGGTTGCCACCCGCATTTCCACATTACGCATATTCTTGAACCGCTCATCCATGTTCCTTAGCAGCTGCCTTACATTTTGTTGGCTATTATAATTGGTAAAGAAAACATTGGCCGGAGTTTGTAGGAATTGTTGGGGTTGTTGTTGGCCAGCAACATTATTTATTAACACTGAAGATGATGATAATGGTGGCGAGGATCCTCCTGCCACCATCACATTCATTGCAGCTGCCGCCGCTGCTGCTGGTACCAATTCAATCGTTGCATTATTATAGTGTAAAGGCACTTTTGTTTGCTTCAGCCCAGGAAGACCAGCAGCCGCAGCAGCAATCGATGCTGGTATATTTATGGCAGCTACTTTTGCTGCATCTCTATCCTGCTGCTGCTGTTGTTGCTGTAGTTGTTGTAATATAGTTGGTGTTAAAGGAACATTTGGTTGTTGTTGTTGCTGTTGTAGTATTGTATTTGAATTGGTGGTTTGTTGTTGTGGTTGTTGATATGTAAATACCATTGATGGTAGTGTTGTTGTTGTGATTATGGCCAGAAGGCAAATAGCAACGTGGAATTGCCGCCGCCTCCACTGCCGACATTGTAACACACATCTATTAGTTGTGGGCATTTTTGTTGTCCTTTAGTGGTGTTGTGATGTTCTTCCTCAGATTCGGAATCCTTTATTTGTTGCATTTAGAAAAAAACAGATAAAAAATCCTTGGGAGGGCAAAAAGTAGAAACTTTTTGTTGTTGTTTTTAATTACAGGAAAACACGTTTCTGGAAGAGAAGAAACACAAGGGAATGGATTAGATTTTATTTTGGGGAATATCTCTTAAAGAATTAAAAAATGGATTTTTTTAAAATATTTTTTCAGGGTCCTTTGATATGCTTGGAAATTCGATATTTTGGTCACTATTTTCAACCGAATTTTGACTGTAATTTAGTATTTTGGGTTCTCATAGGGTAGCAAATCTTCTTACCAAAGATAATCAATATTGACTCAAATGTCGGGGTAGCAGCAGTGTAACGGCACCCCCGAAATTCGATAGTTTGGTCACTATTTTCAAACGAATTTTGATTGTAATTTAGTATTTGCGATTATCATAGGGTCGCAAATCATACAACCAAAAATTATCAATATTAACCCGTGTCGGGGTAGCTCCAGAGCATCGATATTTAAAAAAATCGATATTTTAGGCTCTTTTTTCAAAAGAATTTACGGTAATTTAGTATTTGCGATTCTCATAGGGTAGCCAATCAACCTACCAAAAATAATCAATATTGACCCAAGTGTCGGGGTAGCTCCAGTCAAAGGGTACCCCCGAAATTCGATATTTTAGGCACACTTTTCAACCAAATTGGCTGTAGTTTAGTATTTTGGGTTCTCACAGGATAGCAAGTCATCCTATCAAAAATAATCAATATTAACCCAAATGTCGGGGTAGCTCCAGAGCATCGGTCGGTACCATTAAAATTCGATATTTATGGCACATTTTTCAACCGAATAGGCTGCAATTTGATATTTTGGGTATCAAATCGTACATCCTTTTTCTGATCAATATAGGTCCAATTTTCACGCTAGTCCCCATATGAAAGTACCTCCAAAATTTCAGTTATTTTTTTTGGTTTGCTCAAGTTTTTCAATTGATTTGGTTCTAATTTTGAGTTCTCGTTGGGTGTCAAATCTCGAAACGACAAATTATTTATATTATACCAAGTCTCGGAATAGACCCAGTTTAACAGTATGCTCAATATACGGTATTTAATGTACTTTTTCAACCGAATTGGCTCTAATTTCACATCGTGAGATCTAATTGGGTCTCAAATATTAAATTTTACTTTTGTTTTTCGGTATTTTGGGTAGGTTTTTCAACCAAATTGGCTCTAATTTGGCATCTTGAGGTCTAATTGGATCCCAAATCTTCAAATTTTACTTCTGTTTTTGTAAATGATTGTCAGCCGAATAGCCTATTGGTTCTATATATTTTTATCGAAATCGAAAGATTTACAAATTTCCTCTTAAATCCAAATTTTATACTGTTCCCAAGAAATATTTCCTCAATTTTAATCTAAAATTATAAGAAAATAATATTAATTCAGTTTCTTTTCAAAATAAGAAGAACATAACCTCATGTTTTTTCTTTACTTAATAGAGACTATTTCCATAAAAATACAATTTTTCGCGTCTAAACAAAAATATTGCCTCAATTTTAATCTAAAAAATAATAAATATTAATTCAAATTTTTTTCTTAAAAAATATAAAAACAACCTCACGTTTTCCTCCTTCTTCCTTTGAAAAGGCCTATGGAAACACGTTGGTTATTTTTATTGTTATTGCCTTTTTTGTTCAACCTCTTTAATGATGATAGCCTTTGGTCACGGATCACTACTTTGAATGTAGAATGTTTTTTTTTTGTGTCTTCATTTTGATACAGCATCCAAAGTGAACATGCATGCACATAGCACATCATCGTACATCCTTCCGAGCAAACTTTAAACTTTTTGATCTAAATACATAGATACATGAAACAAGTTTTCAAGCAACAAAGGATTTCTTGGAAGAGGAAGAAAACAAAAAACAACAACAACAAAAAATACCATACAAATGCGGCTTGGACATCAAAAGAAATGATTGCTAGTTCTCTTCCTCTCCTCTCTACCTTGGTTTTTCACACCGCAAAAAAAAAAAAAATAGCATTCCACAATAGCCTGTCATTCAGTTTTGTTCATGCTGTTGTAGGTGTGTATTGTTTTAGAATAAAATATTTTTTTTTTTTTCGAAATGCAACACACTTTTTTTGCCACTATTTTTTGTTCCATAAATGTTTTTTTTTTGCTTTGCTCATCATATTGGTTTTATTATTGTTGCCATTTGATGTTTGTTTTTTTTTCTTGTTCTATCTTGCCTTCATTTCATTTTTTTCCCAACCCACAGTACATTATTCTGTTCATATCTGTTGGTGTTGTTGTTGCTGTATTTTTTTGTTTATTTACAATCGTCGTTGTTTTTTTTTCTACGTTTGCTTTGTTGTTTGCCGCCGCCGACAACAGCAGAAAAAAAACTAAACCAAAAACCACACACAACAACAATAAAAAATATTGAAAACAACCTCCTCACAGATACTCGCGCTCGCCGCGCCGTTTCATGTTTTTACACATGCCATCACACACACACACTTCAACACTTGTGTGTTCTCCACACTCACACACACTATCCATATTTTTCTTCTGCTTTTTTTCTCCATGTCAATTGATAAAATTTCTTTGCAATTCCATTGATTTTCTTTTCGTATACCTTTTGTTATGAATTAAACAACATTTTTGTTGTTTTTTATTTATTAAATTCACACATTTTTCTATATATTTTATTAATTATTTGGCTTTCTATTTGTTTTTTGTTGTTAGAATGGGGGAAAATATACAACAAATCTTTTTTAACAACCAAACGAAATGATAAACGAGCAAGATACTAGGGTTCTATAGTTCTCTTTGTGGACAGATGGCTGAGTTAGGGCAGGTAGAGAGCGAGAGAGTGTCAAAACAACCACTGAGCGGCCCATATGTGTGTGAAGTGGTTGTAGATGGCGCCAAAATGAAAACACATGGCGTATGACGTAAAGAAAACGTTGATTTAAAAGGGATTTAATTGTTATTTAAATTAAAATAATATATAGAATTAATTAATAGTATTGAATAAATAATATACTAATTAAAGAATATTTTTAAGTGATAATAGAACATAAGAACTGGTTTATATAAAAAAAATATTTTTCAAGGCGTGGATTTTTTAAGAAATATTTTTTTAAAGTGAAAAAAATCTTATGTATCTTAACGTCGAGCAAAATATGAAATAAAAATCAGTTTTTTATTTTCATCTAAAACACCTGACCAAAAAAGCTCAACAAAAAGCATCAATGATTAATGAGTGAAAAAAATCGATTTATTGAATGTTATCGATGTGACTTAAAGAACTCAAGTGACTTTGAACCGTGGATATTTTAAGAAATATTTTTTTCTTTATTCCAAAATATACATTTATCGAATGTTATCGAGGTGATTAAAAAATCGATTTATCGATGTGATTTAAAAACAATTTATTGAATTTTATCAAAGTGATTTAAAGTATAAATGTATCGAAAAAATGTAAAAAAACGGATTATCGAATGTTATCAAAGTGATTTAAAGAATCGATTTATCGAATGTTATCGAAGCGATTCCATACAACTGAGTTATCGAACTTTAAATTTGCTATTGAAAATATTTTTTTTCCAAAAAAGTAATGTATTTAACGAAAGTTATCGAAAAATATTGGATTTATCGAAAATTATCGAAATTGAAATTACATTTTATTTCATGATTTTATTGGAATATTCAAAATAATCCCTTAAATTTATTTATAAATACCCAACAATTTTGAAAATTTTATAAAAATAAATTCTGAAATATTTAATTTATCGAAACTTATCGGAATCTAAATTCTATGCGAATTATCAAAAATCGTGGAAATTTGAATTTCATTGTATAATTGTGTTTTATTAATGTTAAAAAATATGATATTTTTTGTTAAATAATCGATTTATCGAAAATTATCGAAATTCAGATTAAATTTTTTCATCGATTTTTTCAATTTTTAAGAAATTGATAGAAATACGATAGAAATATACAAAATTTATAAAAAATTAGTCTAAAATACAAATTTATCGAAACTTATCGAAATGTAAATTGTATACGCTGTATTGAAATATACAGAAATGTGAATTATTATATTATTATATTTCCTAGTATATTTGCGATTTATTAATACTAAAAAAATAATATTTTTAGAAATAATTGATTTATCGAAAATTATCGAAATTAAAATTACTATATTTTCTTCAAATTTTATTTAATTAAAAATATTTATAAATGATAATTAGGCCTAAAAATTAAATAGAATTATCTGTAATATTCGATTTATCGAAATTTATCGAAATGCAATTTATATACAACGTATCGAAAATGACAAAAATATGAATAAATTTATAGTTTATAGACAATGTGGAAATTTTTAGTATTGAAAAATAAAAAAATTATAAAATAATCGATTTATCGAAAATTATCGAAATTTAAATTACGTTTTTTATTTCATTTTTGTAATTTTTAATGAAATTATAAAAAATATTTGAAATTGTATAAAAATGTATTAAATATTCAATTTATCGAAACTTATCGAAATGTAAATTGTATACGACGTATCGAAAATTATAAACAATTTGAATTAAATTATTTTTTATAGACTATGTGGGCATTTTTAATGATGGTAAATATTGCAAAATCTTAAAAATCGATTTATCGAAAATTATCGAAATTTAAATAAAATTGTATTCATCGAATATTTGAAATTTTTAAAGGTATTTATTAAAATTTCCTTATTAATTAAAAAAAAATGCTCAAAATGTATAGACATTTAGCTAAAATAATCAAGTTATCGGAAATTATCGAAAAAAAAAAAATGATTTTTTACATTAATTTTTCTCGC